CTTTTCTCACGTTTTAGCTAGGCTCAATCTAAACATAGTGAAAACTGTAAAATAGCCATTTCAGCATCCCAAATACCTTTTCTTCCTTTCTAATTGTGACACTACTAACATTATTTATTGCTGCCCTTGGGACACACACACAGAGAATCTCATTCAGAACCCCCAACCCACACATCCTCCTACATCTTTGAGTTTTGCTACTAACTACCCTTCCAAGACAAACCAAATTTAACTCTTTAAAGGTATGTATTAAGACAACAGTAACACCATTCTCATGCTGTGAAACTTTTCATTCATATTCTGCATCATCTGTTCTTTTCAGAACTGCTGTCTGATGACAGTCCCCAGAGGATGGAAGACATGGAAGCTGACTTGACTGGTGCAAAGCAACTTGCAGGCAGCACTACACAATTGATTTACAGTGATATTTCACAAATCACCACATTAAGAGTGCCACAGCAAAGTAGAGTACCTGTCATGCAAACACTTGCATTATTAATAGAATTGCAAGTCTGACAACTTAGACTAAGGAAATATATTAAAGATAAGCCAGAATACAATGCACACAACAGCACCATTAACTCCAAGAGAGCAAAAACTCCTTTGTGTTGAATGTATTTCAGCACAGGAAAATGTTAGGAATATTGTGCATACTTTGGAAAAAAAATCTATCTTCAAACCAAACCCAACACTGTTGTGGGTTATTTTTAATTGTTTGACTATCTCTTTCTATGTGCACATAGCCTTAACTAAGAGAGTATATTTCTCAATAATAATTTTAAAAAACTTGGCAGAAAAAAATCGAGATTTGACTGAACAGCTACTTAGCTTCTAACCAAAATCTCTATTTCAACATGTTTACATTACCTAAATCTTTAGACAGCTAGCTGCACACTGTTATGTGTTTATATAATCTGTTCAACTTGCTAAAAATTATTGGAATTGTTTTCCAGACAGCTGATCAATAAAATTGCATATTCAGAGCTGATTTTGCACAGCCATCCACACAAGTGACATCCTTGCACTGGAAATGTGAATGCCACATGTCAGCTTTCAACTGTTTTTGCCAGTAAATCTGGTCTCATCTTCATGACAGTGGGACTGTTCCACAATTCTGTTGTATTCTGAAGAGTTGATGTTTAAAGTTATCAATTTAACAAAATTACAGGACAGTATATATGGAAACGCTCCAAGAGCTTTCTCACAATTTGCACAGTAACAATCAGAGAAGAAAAAGATACCTGGTAACACACAAGTAATGATATAATACCAATGCTGGTATCTTTTTTTCCCCCAGTAACTACTAGAACACAATTTTGGAAATTTACATTGGAAACAAGGAATTTTAAGTATTTGCTTTAGCAACAACCTCATTTGCTAGGTTACAAACCTCTCTACCCATACTTACTGCCCAGTGTCTCAAGATGCAGACAGATGCCTTAGAACAGACAGTTGTTAAAGAGCAGCTTGCAGTGGGGAGAGAAGGCAGCACCTCAGGCCATACCACAGGTCAGGAGGCTTCACCCAGCCTTGCCAGCAGCCAGTCGGTCACACTGCAACCTTCACAGGACCTAGGCATTGTCTAGGATTTCCTAGGAAGCTTCAGCTCCTTGTAGAAATTATTTCCACAGCTTTTCATTCAAGATTGCTAGCCAACAGCCTCTGAAGCTTTTTACAGCTTTTTAAAAAGGAAACTTCAGTAATTTAGGAAAAGCAATGTAGTAGTGTATTTGAGAGACACTCTCTACCTTGTTCTGCTTTGAATAAAGGAAATAGCTAAAACAGAAGCTCAGCATCATGAAATATATGCCACAAACTAGATAGTCAATACACATGCAGACTAAGATATCTGAGTATGTCTTGATACTGTCAAAAACTCCACAAGGGCCTACCACTTGGAGTCTGAAACTGATTTCACCAAAATTTAACTCTAGCAACACTTTGAATACTTTTGCAAAGTTGTTGTTATTATTGTGATTAATATATTTCTGAAGCTCACTCTTTTTTCACCCCATTACTATTACTCTCTTGTTGAGACCTACCCTTTTCCATCCTGTATCTTCAATATAGAAAATATTTACAAATTTACAAGACAGAGAGAGAACAAAGCACTTCTAAAAATGTTCCTCAGCCTCCAAGTAAATAAGTGACAAGGTAGAATACAACCAGAGTCCAAAAACTAACTTACAAAAATTCAGTACTTGGTATGTTCTACACACATTACTTTTAAGTTGCGTGAAGAAAGTTGCATAAAGTTCCAAGGTACAGTGATAAAAAAACTTAAAATGGTATACTTCTGCAGTGTCATTTTATGAATTATTATGACCCCAGCAGTAAAAGTAACAGAGAAGCTGGCAAGGAAACAGGTAGCCAGAGGTGGTAAGAACTAGTCTTCCAAAACACTCAGCAAATCTGAATAGTCATTTTGACAAATCTCACAGAACAGCAACTTCAGAAAGCAAAGAGGCCGTTGCTTTCCTGTGTGAGGGGACTGAAGGACCCTTAGGTATAAGCTAAGCACAGAAAAACTCATGCAACTAAATCACTACTGATTTCCAAAATGAGCTCTGCCAGGCCTCCACCTCTTACCATACACCTCCGTCATCTAGACCTTGAAGGGTTCAAGGCAAAGGTTATGTTTTGAAAAGCGTGAACTTTACAAAAAAATAAAAATCCACAGACATTGACAAGTGGCCTTTATCCAGGGCATCACCCATATCAAAAGCCACCACTGTGTTCAAAAAATGGGGACAGCTCACACCAGTTTTCAGGTAAACAAGATAGGTGACTGCCTGCCCTCTGTCTCCGTGGGCTCGTGCAATGCCAACTGATGAGACCTAAGCTGACACAAAAACACTATTGACAAAATATTCAGATCAGCATGTGCATTCCAGTCAGAGATTCACGACAACCATAAATACCCCCACAGTAAAAACCACTGCACACTATAAATGCATGGAAGTTTATTTCCGAGAGCAGATGCCTGCCTGCATGCATACCTTCTCAGTCAGGTCTCAGAAAGCACGCTCCCCGGGAAATTACCTAGTCTGTGCGCTTTCTTTTGACACCAGCAGACGATTATTGTTTTTTTTTAAGTTCTAGTCCCTACCACGCATTTGTTCTGCAGGCAACACAAAGCGTTCGAGGTGAGCTTGACAGCGCTGCGGAGGGCAGGCTGGCTATTCTCGTTCCCAGCCCCAGTGCCTGCCCCGGCCGCGCCTCATGTGCGTGAGCAGCGAGGGCAGCACCGGCGCTCCAGCAGCGACAACGCGGGGCAGGGCGCGCAGCGGCGGTGCCCGCGGCACGCCGCGTCCGAGCGCCCGGCGGCACCGGCCGGCAGTGTAACACGTGCACGGGCGGTGACAGCGGAGGGCCGGCGGGGCTCCGGCCGCTGCGCATAGGCGTGCCCGCCCCATCAGCATGCACACGGGCACCGCCGCCGTGCGGCCCCGGCCCCGCGGGGCCGCCGCCCCGGCGGGCGGGACGCTGGGCGCAGGGGCTGCCCCGCACAGGCCGCTCGAGCGGCGCCGGGGCGTAGCTGTCACCACGGCACCCACCGCCCGCCGCCCCTGCCCAGCCCGGCTCCCTGCGCCACCCGCCGGGCCCTCGCCGCGCCCCGGGTGCCGCGGCCCAGCGGCCCCTCGGCGGCCGCTGCCCGGCCCCGGCGTGCGGCCCCGGGGCGGGGAAGGACCTCGGCCCCCGCCTCCTCCTCCTTCTCCGGAGGCCGAGCGCGGCCGGGTCCGGCGCCCCCCCCCGGCCCGCCCCGCGGACGCTCACCCCACGACTCCCTGGCTGTAGTTCCTCTTCTTCCAGGGAGTGCCGGTGTAGAGCGGCTCGGCCAGGCCGGGCTGGGTGCGGGCGGCCGGCTCGTCGGCCGGGGCGGGGGCGCGGCCCAGCAGCAGGCTGTAGTTGAGCCCGAAGGTGCTGGCCTTGTTGTCGCGCTTCCTCTTGTTGCTGGCGGCGGCGGCGGCGGCGGCGGGCGGCGCCCCCCGCGCGGGCCGGGCCCAGGCGGCGGCCCCCGGGGGCGGCGAGGCCTGGCGGTGGCCGCGGCTGTGCGGGTTGTTGGCGCTCTCGAGCGGCAGGAAGTCGGGCGGGGGGTCGGCGCGGGGGGCGCGGTACATGCCGGGCGGGGAGGCCGGGCCGACCGCGGCGGGGGCGCTCTGCTGCTGCTGCTGCTGCTGTTGCTGCTGCTGCTCCTGCTGCTGCTGCTGCTGCTGGAAGTAGAGGTTGCGGACCCCCTGCGTGGTCTCCCAGATCTGCATCCACAGGCGGTTCGAGGGGCCGAGCTGCTCTGGCTGGAACCAGGCTATCCGGGGATCCATCAAACGGGGACCCACCCCGGCTGATCCGCTCCCCGCGCCGCGCCGGCCGCCGCCGCCGAGACCCTGTCAGCGGGTCCCAGCGCTAATGGCGGCTCCTATGGAAGGGCAGCTCCGCGCCTGCCTGCTCGCTGCTGCCGCCGTCGCTCCACAGCCCCCGCCCCTCCTGGCGAGCGCGGCGAGGCGGGGCCGGGCCGGGAGAGCCGCCGGCACGCGGGCCGCGCGCAGCACGGGGGGCGGCGGCGCCCCGGCCGCTCCCGGCACCGCCGCCTGTCCCCGGGCCGGGCCGGGGCGCGGAGCGGGCCCGGGGCCGCCGCTCCTGGCCCGGCACAGCCGCTCCTGGCCCGGCACAGCCGCCGCCGGCGCGCAGCGGCCCCGCGGGGCAGCAGCCGCGCTCGCACGGCCGAGCGCTCGTCCCGGCCCCGCCGCTGCCAGCGCGCCGGGCACTCCGTGAGGCGCGGGCAGACCCGCAGCAGCGCTCCCCTGCCGGCACACCGACAGCTGCCAAACCCCACCGCACCCCAAAACTCTTGGGAGCACGCCAAGGGTTAGTTCAGGGTCTTCCTGCCTTTCACTCCGCACCAGAAGAGGGGCAAAGGCAGCCTAGGTGCAGCCTTTTTTGTAGATGGAAATATACATCACATACACAATACCACAAACAGCAACAGTGAGTAGTACCAGTTCTTGTCAGACTCGGTTTTATTTTTAGTGTTTTCATACTACAGCCTTAAAACATCTTTAAGATCAGCGACAAAGTTTCCAGTGTTTTGCACGAAGGGCCTGGTGCTTCCCCCACTTGCAGAATTGCATGGGAGATGATTTCTCTTTAGGAAGCTGGAGGTGGAGGGTTTAGAATTAAAAAGTCATATTCCAATTTCAAACATTCTGTGAAGGGAACAGTTTGCAAAGACTTAGCACCATTTCCTGGTGACAACCAAAGACTGAAGTTCTGGCTTCTCCCCACCATCCCAGAGCAGAACATACTGTCCTCAGCACTCCTCTGTTCTGTCACAGCGTGTCTGATCTGCATTGCCCAAGAGAAAATGAACCACAGCAAGAGGGTTAAATTTGGGGGTTGTGTTGACAAACTTAATTGCTTTGAAAATTAGGACCTGCACCTAGAACTACTAGTGAAAGCCAAATGGAAACTGGTGGGACTTGAACATAGTCTTGGAATTGGGAAATAACCACTATGAATAACCCTATTTTCCAAACCCCACATTCTTCAGTTATTCTGAGAATTATAAGTGTAGCGGGAAAAGGTAGCAAGAGGAGTCTAAACGATATTCCCTGCAAATCAAAAATTCAAATAAAAACGTTTCAACTAGCAAACTTTTAAAAAAATGCAACAAAGTATAAGTCAAATAAAAGATTTTACATTACCCTTAAGAAGGTGACAGCAACCCGAAAAATAACTGATTTGTTTCCTTTTTTAATAAAGCTAATTCTGCAACAACCAATGATTTAGTCTACACTCATAGCACATAAATGTCAGCAAGTTTTGTTATAGGTCTGAGGTTTATTAATTTACAGGATTCCTCAGTAGCAACCCTAGTCCCAAGCAAATATAGCCAAGACCTAATATAGGTGGTATAGTAACACAAATGTTTTAGATTAGCAAGTATGCCATGGTGGGGGTGTAAAAAACAAAGCCCACACTTTAATATGGTCAAATTGGATTTTTTTTGATCACTGCTTTGAATTTTAACTCCTTTATTTACCAAAAAAGGAACTTCCCAGGAAAGGTTATCTGGAAACATCATGCATTCAACTAGCTGAATCAGCCATTCTTCCATGAAGTTCTGGAAGTGCTTTTCACTCTCCATTTGAAGGGGCAGAGAGGAGGGAAGAGGCTAATGCAATATTCCTTAAAAGTTGAAAAAAAAATCATGTCAGAGGAGAAAGAAAACAATTCTAAATGGGCTTTTTATCATAGCAGGAACACAAAACCAGAAGAAGCTTTACTGAAAGCCCAATGCATCTTTCAGCATGGCGCAGGGATTTAGGTGAGCACTCACAAGGCCAGGGCTGCATCAGGACCCTCACTGTATGCTGAGAACACGCAGCAGCCAGAGTCCAACAGCATACAGATTATTATCATGGGGTCTTACTTTGATTAGTTTGATTAAAACCCATCATGTAACAGTAATGCGCGGAGCTCCCAACACCCAGATTCGAAAGAAAAAAGCATGTTCCTATATCCTCATGTGTGCAAGCCTCAAACTAGGCTTTATTAGGTCAGTATGTGTGACAAAATGCCTCTCACAGAGAGAAGAAACTTACAAAAATTATACAGAAACAAAATGAAATTTAAGTGAATTTACTTTAATGCCTTCACTTTTTCCCAAAAGTTACAAAAATTAGCAGGTTTAAATTATCTGAAAATTAGACTGAAAAAAACCCCACGACTCAAAGCTTCTTCAAACAGAAAGGCTCACCATGTGTCAGCCCTGGTGGAAAACCTTCAAGTTCCTTAATCTGCTGTCTGTCAGAGTCCTCAGATTTTGCCAATTATCCTTAAGTTATGTATCTTAACAACTTGTCCAGAACAAACAATATATAGATTGTTTGCTCAAGTCACTTGTGCCAGAAAGGAACAATTACATTATTTTCAATTATTTTCAGGCACTACCATTGCCTGAATTGGAATTTGCAACAGTAAATGTAAAGCTAGAATTTTCTGTCCAATCCTCAGGAATGTTTTTACTGAAAATCCCTCACTGAAGAAACAGGACTTGAGTTTATGGGCATTTTTGGTTGGTTGTTTTATGTTAATATTCCACAAGGTATTAATTTAATTTATAATACTTAAACCACAAACTAATTTTAAATTTGTTAGTTCTCACATGCAGTTCTCATTCTGTAATTTTACTGCGCTCTCAGTTTTCACATTTGTTTCTCAAAATGCAAACATCAAACCAAACCAAGTACTACTGGTTGAAGTTACTCGCATGATGCATAAACAACAAATACACATTCAAATTTTGCCACTTTTTTCTTTCCACAGAGAGCAAGAATAAAACCACACAAGTGGTAATTCCTTTTTTCCATAGCTGGGAATTCAACATTTTGCTGGAAGCAGAAAATGTCAGCGGTCCTGCTGCTCCTGAACAGGGCAGGGGACCCACAGCCTCCTTCAGACTCTACTTGATACCAGAGCAAGGCAAACTCAGCACCTATTTTGGTATTACAGCTCAGCTCAGAGCCAGGCTGTTGTGCTCAGCATCAGGCAGGGACACAAGTAGAGCAGCAATCCATACTTTCCAAGGACTGTGTTTTTTAACTGAAGCAGACAGATGATGCCTTAGGGACCAGAATAAGCAGCCCAATTCAGACACCTGTTTCGATACCAGTCTTATCTGTGTGATTAGATGAATTGATGATCACTTACGTATATTTAGAATCTATTTACTTATGCTACACACTATTTACATCAGTCCAATTTCTGACATCAAGATCAGTCTTCCCCTTTGTAGAGTGTAAAAGATCTTGTCTTTGTCTGAAGCTTACCCTAGACCTATTAAATAAACCAGTGTTCAAAGAGCCCCCAAAATATCTAATTTGCACATTATCATCACTTCTGCTGCTGACTTCATTTTCCTCAGTTGGAAACAAGGAAGAACAACTTCTGTAGCATCAATCTTGTAGTTTAGCTCTTTTGTGCCTGTGCATCTCATCTGGTTTTAGTCCCCGATTTGATGCTTCTTTAAATCATTCATAACTTGCTTTGTCTTCCATAGATGCATTCACATTCCTCTTTAAGTGATATGGTTTGTACTGTGCACCAATCTCATTGTGAATTGTTTTTTCAAGACATTCAGCTGGTCAGTGCATAGCAAAAAAAATAATCCGTGCCTTCCTATTGCCAGAATAGTTTAAGATCTAAATGTCAGTCTGTTTTTTCACCTGAACAAAAAAAAACCAGGGTCTAAGTGATTAAATTAAGAAAACCATTTTTATAGTGGATGCCCTATCTTCTGTATATTTATCTGCAACTTCCAGATGTGTATTTGTTTAAATGTTTGATTAAATGTTTCTTGTTGTTATCAACCTAAAAGAAAAAGCCAAAATGAAAAATAACATACTTTGGTTTTCTAATGGTCCCCAGGGAACAGATTCTGGCTGCTACACTTGTAAAATGCAAAGTCCTACATTTGGGACAGTGCTCTTGACTGAATGACCTAAGGACAGCTTTGGAAAGAAGGACCAAAGGGTCCTGGTGGACAGTAAATTCAAGCAAGCAGGGCACCCTTGCAGTGACAACAGCTAACAAATAACAGGCTGTGCTGGCAGGAGCATGGCCAGCAGGACAAGAAAACCAACTACTTGCCTCTATTCAGCATCTAAGAGATCACATCTATGTCCAGTTTTGGGCCCTCAGTACAAGACACAGTAAAGCAGGCCAAGCAGAAGGCCACTAAGATGGCTGGAGAGTGAGAGGGCATACAAGGAAGAGCTGAGAGAGCTGGGTTTATTTGGCATGGAGAAGAGGGAAATACAATTGGTGTCTTCAGTTGCCAAGTGGGGGTTAGGAGATGGAGCCAGGCTCTTCTTGGTGGCATGCAGTCAAAGGACAAGAGGCACATTTTGCAGCAGGGGAAAGTCCTAGAAGGCACAAGGGGCAAATGGAAAAAAAATGTGTTTCCAGTGACAGCAGTCAAGCCCTGGAAAAGGCTGTCCAGAGTTGTAAAATTTCCATTCTGGGAGATGTTCAAGGCCTAGAACAGCCTGTCTCCCAAGTCAGCCCTGCTTTGATCAGAGGACCAGACTAAGAGACCTCCAGAGACCCCTTCCAATCAAGAACAACTACAATTCAATGTAGCACCCAGAAAATGAGATCAGAACTTTCCATGTGGAAGTCCTTTAGGTGCTCCAAACAAACACTAATACCTTTCATCAGGCTATCCTCAGTGTACACAAGTATAACTAACACCAGGATTAAAATCCACACACTGTAGGGTATTATGCCATAATCCACCTTTCCTCAGCTGTTACACTCCAGACCTCTTCACTGCCTGCCTTGCCAAATCCCTGAATAACCTCTCACCTGCCCCATGCTCTTGACTCCTGGTGTTCTCTAGTCCAGCCTCAGTGGCCCTTGAGCCCTCCCAATCGCATCACACATTTCATCTGACTCCTGTAAATTAACAGCAGAAACAGCACTTCCAGGCAGCTTAAACTCATCTTTCCTTCCTCTTGGTCAGGATTTCAGAAAGTCAGTATTTTGCAAGTTACCAGTCAGTTTTCAAGTCTACTTTCCAAACTTAGAGATTGAAATCTAACAAACCAAGCAAATTTGGTCATTTTAAGTTCCATGCTTTTAACATGGGAAAAATTTTGCCATAAACTGGATGCCTGAGCTAAAGCAGCACATTGAGAGAGAGGGAAGAAACCTTCCCATTTCAAAAACCAGCAAAACAAAATGATTTTGTGTTTAGTTATGGGTTTTTTCCTTGAAAAATCTGTATGAGAGGACCTCACTCACAGAAACAAAACCAAAGCTTTTGATATATGGAATATAAAATACAATTTGCATGAATCAATGATAGTTTAAAAAAATATTTTCTGTATTTTACATCTTAAAAATCTCCATCACAGATATTTGCAAAAGTTATTTTAAGCAAATATAAATTTACTTCAGGTAAATTTACATTTACCTCAGTATAAAAAAAAATTATATTTACCACAGTATAAAAATACTTTCCATTAGGTTTACTACTTCTCTGAATTCAAACTTGTGCTGATGTAGAATTACAAGGACGACTGTAAAATAGGAGACTTAATTTTCAGAAATACTAATCAAAATAAAGACAGGGTGCTGTGTCTAAGTGTAGGATCTGCTTACACTGATTTTCACAGCAAAAAGCTATCATACTGAATTTATCATAAATGAATCTGAAAATTTTCTCCTCATGAACCTCATGGAATAACAGATACAAGTGCTGACAGGAATCTACACATTTGTCATACACTTCTTTTGGGAAGTCTGCCATAAGTGCTTCTGTAATTCTAGGAACAGGTAAGAGCAAATAGCAAATATGAACATTCTCCCACTGCTCCATTCCCTGAAATAGACCTTGAATTTTTTTTTTCAATGTCACATGACCAAGAATATTTTCATAATTATTTTTCACACAGGTGTGGTTTTCTGCCAGGGTACATGAAGATATCTAAGCAATGACCATGGTGCATGTACAGACCTCAGGACCTGAAGAGCACCTTCTCACCACTCCAACAATCTCAGGGTATGCTACAGGGCTTTTTATGCTGATATGTCCTTCATATTGCATCAACCCGAAAGTATAAAAATACTGAATGTTATAAAATGTAGCATTAACATCAAAGCAAAACTGCTCTCCTCAGTAAAGTTTGGAAGTTCAAAACAGTTATATTTTTTGAAAACATTACTCAATAAGGAAAACCTTAAAAGTTCCTCGGTGTTTCAAGCTGGGGTTTTCCCTAGTGCTTCCTGATATGCAATGAATCTTCTCAAATTCATTTTCACATTGTCAAGAACACACAGTTGATCTGTACTATATTGTCCTTTGCCTTCTTTTCGCATCTGTAAAACCAAAAGAACACATGGTTTACTATTGGAGAAGCTTCTCCTATCAGATCACCTCAAGTTTACTGTAATTCTGTATACAGGTGTTCTATGAGAACTCAAAGGTGTTGCCATGTGCACCTGTGGAGCTTAGCTATTATTTCTGCAAGTCAATTTACTATAATGCACTACTGCCTAAAATTAGACTAGTGGCACATTATTTCATCCAAAAATCTGAGACAAACACTTCTTTTCTGTGGCTTTTTATATGGAAATTAAAACACATTTAACCTAACAACTGAAGCACCAGGTATGTACTTTGTGTGTACAGTGCTTTTTTTTTTCCATAGCTTTTAGACTATGGAAGTCATTCCTCAGGCTGCATCTGACCAAAGAAACAAAGTGTGGAAGGTCATTCTCTGTTTAAGTCTAGGATGTAATTAAATTACAGTTTAGAATGCCAGCCTTGTTATTCTTGAAAATACATGATACATAAACTGCTTTAATTAATCAAGAATGGAACAAAAACATCCAACTGCTACTGCAAGTTAAAAACCAAAGATGTCAATGTAACTTCAGAAAGGACTTTTCTCCCACCTCCAGAGACATCTGCAGGATTTTTTGTACAACTATTTCAAAACAATACAGTGATTTGGACATCAGTCATACTGATGGTGTAATGCAGATGTTGCAATGCAGGTGCTGCACTGTTACCTTAACACAACCATGAATTTTAAGGTATTTGCTTTCCTAAAGTGCATTATCAGAAAATCAAGCACTTTTTTTCTGTCATCTTATAAATTAATTATTTCTTCCAGGAGCCCAAAACTCTACCTTTAACCCAGATTGTGTGCTGAGACCCTGAGCTGGCTGCCCTCGATGCCTACCCTCATTCTGAACACTGGCTGAAATTCCTTCAGTGTTGGAAGCAACTTGATCTGTAATGCTGCCCTTTCTGCTTCTTCACCATCTGCAAATACATCAAAAAGTGCATCCAAGGCTTCCCCTGCTACCACAAGAGAAGACTCCTTCATAGCAACCTCAAGAAGAAATTTTCCAATCATCTGTAATAAAAAAGAAAAATTGATTTTTCTAGCAATGCTGAAGAAAATTGAAAGAAACATCAAAATTCTTTTAAGCTTGCAATGCAAAGTTTGCTTTTTCACCTTCAGTGTTTCAGCTGCACCTTGTCCTTTTGCCAGGACACTGCCAGAAATTCCAAGGATGCTCACCATGTTCACTCTAACACTGGTGTTGCTGCTTTGAATACCAGCCTCACATAAAGCCAATAGCTGCTCAGGAGTCATACACTGGTCAGCAAGTGGAAAGAAGGAAAAGAAGGAAGACACACACAATTACATTTTCATAGAAATTTTGAAATATGACATTTAGACATTGTACTTTTACAGAACACAGGCAAATTCTTCAGAGTCCTAGATTATGAAAACTTTAAGAATTCTGAAAATGCAATTACCAAGAAATTTCAACTCCCTTTCAACTTGTTTCTCCCAGAACATATCCAAGGCTGACATGAAGTTGAAGTTATGAGATTTTCACAAATTTATCTAGCTCAACACCTGCTTGCAACTCATTACAACTTACAGTATAAAATCTCAGTTTTCAGTTTAAGGCCAGAAAGAACTAGCAGACTATATGGTACTGTGTCTTGTATAACAAATCATTATGCTTCATTCCTGTATTCAACTCACTAATTCATATCCACCCAAGATTCAAGGACCACCAGCTAGGTGACATCAGGAAATAAACAAGCTACATTTCTAGGTGTTAATTTTCTACATATTTGTCATTACAACTATCTTCTGAAGATACCTGTGGCTATTGCTATTCTGGTTTTCAAATAGCTTTCATCTGTTTACACACTGAGGAGGAGATATATAAAAAAATATTCCCATAAGGTCCATGAAAAACACAGTTATAATGCTATTAATCTGTTTCAGCATTCACAACTGCTGAAATTTTGAACTGAATTTATATTGCTTTGTTTCAAAAACTTTCCAGCCCAATCTCACAGGAATTTGAACCTACCAGAGCATTTGAGTTTGAAAGCTTTTACCTGGGGGATGTTCTTTGATGCCATTGTTTGCAGGAGAGCCCTCAAAGCACTGGTTACAGCTTCCAGGAATTCTGTGTCTGTAGGGAGTTCTGTCAAAGAACAGAACCCAGAGCCAGAAGTTAAACAGTAATATGAGGGGCATAGGAAGCAAAGAAATACAAATTCCTTAATCCCTTAATTGTTCCTCCAGGTACTACCACAACAGGAAAAGCTAGATTTTCAGAGACTGGTCTCTGTAGGTTGTAACCATAGTGATTTGTTTGAATTCAGCACTGACTTCGTCTGGAGGTCAGAACACAGCTGGGCCTCTTTTTCAGGCACATCCCTGGTTGAGACACTTGTGTGACTTAATGGACAGTACCAGCCACTGCCACCAGAACAGCAGCTGAAAACTGGCATCACATGGAGGCCATAACACAGGAACTGAGAAAACTGCAGAAGCTGACTGCATACTTGACCTCCTTTCTTCTGCCTTCTTAAGCAAGCTTTTCAGACACCCGAACACTGGACTCTTTCCAATTCATATAAAGAGCATGTTTTCCGGTGGTTTAATAACATTCCAGGAATGTATGACTCAAACACTGCATTATTCTTGTTTAACTACAAACTCATCAGTAGCAGCCTTCAATCTGTGTTCTGCATTTCTTGAGGCTTTTCATTTTCCTCTAATGGGTTTATTTTCTGGACCACTTCAGATGCAGAACTTCTTGATTTATGTGCATCTCCTCCCTTCTCATGTAAACAATCAGATCTTTATGCCTCTCTTTAACTCTGTAAACCACAGAATTCCTTCTAACCACATGTTGGTATTTTATCAGCTCTATCTGGCAGTTTTCATTACACAGCATTTAAACATGAAAAAATGGGCCTGTGCCAATTAATTAATTTTAGCATCCTTAGCGGTCTTCAGATAGCAACTTCTCCAGCTTCATCTAAGAACTTTCTATTACAAAGCATAACATGTAGACCCAAAATACTGGAAATCCTCTCTTCAAGCATGAGACATGCTTTATGTCAACTTCCTTGGGTATATTTTCATAGATATTTTCATTTCTGCATTTTAGTTTTCCATACACTGCACTCAGTAATAATGTTCCCATAGACTAATCACATGTCTTTAAAGACATTGAGAAAAGAGTGTGTTTTGCAGGCAGATGCATTTTCAAGCACTAATGCAGTGTCATTTCATACACCACAGTAGAGCACTACATAAGCTGCATCTATGGCTACAAATGGAGACACTTGAGGGAAGGGAAGGAAACTAAATTTCTTGAGCTTCTAAGAAATGAGAAATGACAAAGCCACACATATGCCAGACTTCAACAGAACTGTCTTAGTGAAAATGTCTTCTGACAGTTTGGAGAATTGGCAACTTTTCCAGGCTCTAAGAATCTCTCTTATTTTTCGAAAACTCATCACCACTGACCTTAAAACAAAGATTATCAGAATAGTCTGAGGAAACAGCCTGCCAGGGACCCACATCCTCAGTTTGGAAACAGGTAGGGTTTTCTTAAACCATTTTCTTTTCAATCTTGGTTCAACTTCTCTCATGTCAGTAACAGACAGGTCATAGCATAAACAATCCAACAGGATTATGGAAATGATGCTGCTCTCATGTATAAAATCACAGAAACCAGCTGGAAATGCTACCTGCTGTAGAGATGATCCAATAACACTGTACTAGCAGATGTATGGGGAGACCTTTACAGTATGTCTATGAAACAATGCATCCTGAAGGAACTACAGTGAAGACATTCTAGTGTTTATCAGGATGTATCACAGAATCTGTGAGGCTGGGAAAGACCTCTGAGAACAGTCCAATCTGTGACTGATCACTGCCCTGTCAACCAGACCCTGGCACTGAGTGCCACGTCCAGTCTGTCCTCAGACATCTCCAGGGATGGTGACTCCACAGCCTCCCTGGGCAGCTCACCCCACTGTCTAAATACAGATATTGCATATATATATATTCTAAAATAGTATTTTTAGAATAATTAAAATTTATTACCTTTTTTGTTGAAATTGAACCACAACCAGAACAGGAAGCTGAACAGCTTTAAGACTTAGTTGTAACAACTTTGCACACTTTCTTACTACAAATATAATTCCAATAAAGCTAAACTATCATAAGCACAAAGCACGTCCTGGAGAACAAGGTGGTTGCTCTCTTTGCTACTGTAATAAACATGGACATTCTTGAGATTTTTGCACCAATTGCTTTTGCCATAATTTGGTAAGATTACTAGGAAAAATGATGTGAAAGACTGTGCTAGACAGTTTTCACATAATTTTTTGTTTTCACAACTCCTTAGGCTAGTTAGGACTTTTAAAAAGAAAATGTCCCATCTTCTTCATGCTTGTCTGATTGCTGAAAACTGTTATTACCACAAATACATTTAAGCAAACAGTTCTGGTCTCCCAACAAGGGAGTTCATCCACTCAGAGAGTTTCTGTGTAGACCCAAACGTGAAGCAGATTCCTGCACTATGACAGACTTGCTTAAGGTGCAGTTTGGATAAACACCTCTTAACAGGATACACTGTCATGTCAGTACATTGTCAACACTCAGTATCCATATTTTGAAGGATCAGAGGGATAAAGATAGTAATAAACAGCACTGGAATACAACATCCACGGCTACCTTATATCTAGGTGATCAGCAAAGGGGGTCAGCAAGTCCCCTTTACTGAACAGCTTACCTGTTTTAGAAAAGATCAGCTGTGAGAGATGCTGTGCAAGGGACTGAAGTGCTGAAGCTCCCCCAAGACAATCCACATCTGACACCAACAAAATGCTCTGAAGACACGTTAAAGCTCTACACTGCACTGCATTCAGTCTGAAACAAACAAAAAACATGTTTATATTCAACACCTGTTGAATATAAAGAGGAATCTTGAATATAATAAGGCTGTGATCCAGTATGCAGTTCACAAAAACATTTGTATATCTCTATTCAAAATCATGTATCAGATCTGCCAGCTTCCAGATTTTAAGAGCAGCCCAAAGATGGACAATCCCCCTAAGAGTTTTAAAACAACTGAACATACATGAAAAATAGTAAGAGACAATGAGATGCCTACTTTTTAATTAATGGCTTCCAAGACGGATTGTGCATACAGATGTCTAGAGCAACACTGTTCGGAAAAGCAGTTTTTTCAAGAATCTGAGGAGGGGAAAAAGAAAGGTTTAGCAATAAAGCCCATGTCTTCCTTTTTATTTTCCTTTCCTTTTTTTTTTTTTCTTAGTGCGTTCAGAGGGAAGACTGAAATTTTAGCTTAATGTCAAACAGATACTTCAAACTATGTATTTCAAAGTTTTCCAGACAGCAAATCTCTTGCCTGCTAGGAATGCCAGAATTTTCCTCTATCACTTAAATGGTGCAATTATACACCAGGTTTAGCACAGAGCATTTTAAGTATTCAACTGTACTAATGACAGGTGATTTTCTAGGTCTCTGCTATTCTTTCTAATTTCTCTCTTTCTTATAGATTCTGCTACAGGAATTTCAGACAGCTGCAAGTCTGGAAGGCCTTGCCATGAAACTCAAAATGTCTTCAAAGTTTTCACCTCACACTTCGATGTCTTAGCTCAGAATTCTACAATGCTGCTGACCTAACACAGTAACTGATTCAAATAACAAACTTCACCTTTGCAACCCAAAATAAAAATGAGCAAAACAACTCTGAAACAAAAATATTTGATTTCCTGTCAGTGCCAAATACTGTATTTCAGACACTTTGTATAAAACAGAGGGAGAGGAACTTGCACTTTTTCAGTGCTGACTGTTGCCATTTATTAATGTTACTTCCACCTCATTTAGCTAATACAGAAATTTGGCTGTCACACTTAGCCAAGTTTCCTTTCCTTCTGTGGGTAATCTTTTTCATGTTCAAATCAAGGAATAACAACCTTTGTATTTGGGGGGGAAGGGGGTGGAATTTAAAAAGACCTACCAGATTTCTGAAACACATGACCCTTCTATTCTCACTTACATGAGGAAATTTTTTAGGTCATGCAATGATGCACCACCTCTAGGCCAAAAAAAGTGAAGCCAAACTCATTTAAAAAAAATACTCCCTTCCTCCAGGTGGATTAGAATAATTTGTTTGCCTAACTTGGGATACAAAGCAGGAACAAGGGAAAGACTTTGGAAATAGTACAGAAGACAATACCTTCTTTGGAATGAGGTTGTTCAGAAATGCTGAGTTAACTTCATCAGAGAGGCACAGGGGTGACAGTAGCAGCCCACTCCCCTCGTTGTAAGAGTTTTCCATGAACAAGTCACTCTCATCACTGCTGGAGAGTTCTTCCCACTCATCATCGGATGGATCTGAAAACACAAGACAGACTTGTAAATGTAACAGCTCTCATGCAACAGGTATCCTACTTCCCAAGTAAAATTGGCTCCTCCAAACTTCTTGGTTTAGAAATCTTTAAGGTCTTGGGCTCTAACAAACTCCTCACAAACCAAATGCCATTAAGCCACAGTTCTAAATATTTTATTAAAAATATTTTATACTCACAGAGGCACAAATATTCTTATGAGAAAGATTCATCATACATGGGCATGTTAATCTCTGATATTAACAATGTGTTGTTTAAAAATATCCAAAAAAAGATATAGAAGAAACATTTCATAAGGATTTACTAAGATTTTAGCTTGGATTGTACCACTTCATTTTCTGAGGTTGACTCAAGCATGCAAATACACCAGTTTAACTTAACTTGTTTACTAATTGCTGTCACTTTAAGGCAATTGTTTCCTCTGGCAATACTGAAGCCACAGACAGATGTCCTCTGCCTGGGCAGTAACTGGGCTGGATGAAGATGTTACTGCCTCCACAGCAAGATCAGTTGAAACAAAGTGATGACAGCAAAGAAAGATAAATCCTCTCTGATAGTCATTTCAAGCAACACATATCACATAAATTAAACTAGGTTTATAATCTTAGACCTGAACTGGGTCATACTTACATGACTTTTTATACTAGCAGATCTTTAAGGGCAGATCTGGTGAGAGAAGTCAAGGTTCTATTACCAACAGGCTACTGTGTGAATAATCTGTCCACAACTGAAGGGGAACTTTGGCTGACAAGCACAAGCTAAAATCACCCTCATTTATATTTGAACTCGTCTATCTACATCCACAGAGTTCACACTCATTTAGCTGAAGTTTCTTTAAATCTGGTTACATTTTAACTAGGGTTTACCCAAGTCCTAAGTCTACAGGCTGGACTGATCCTCCTTTCCAACAGATGAAAGCTCTGTGTACATAGGTCAGGATGTTTAATTATCGTGACAAAAAAAACCACTATCATATTCAGCCCCAAGTAATTTTGTTTGACAACACAGATTCTCATGAGATGTAGTAACTACAGGAATAGGCATGCACTTCTGTGGCAAAAGGTAACTTCACTAAAAATACAGCAACCAAGATCCAAATGAATGCATTTCACCTGCACTGTGCAAGTTTAAGAATTTATTTGAAGGTGATGGTTGTGGTTTATCTGATGTAAAATAACTTATCAAGGTGTGGCAACTTGACCACATAGGCATCTTATGGTAGTATCCAATTAATTCTACAGCCATAACTTGCTGGTGTTAATAGCTTTTGCATGAGAAAATGGTTGTCTTTCACGCTTTACTAAACCATGGCAGCAAGGAACATGACTACATGAAAAGCCTCTTTTTCAGTCTCCTGCCTCTTCTAAAAAATTCCTTTTGCATCTTTAGAAAACAAAGAAAGCAAAAAACATCCATTGAAAACTAATTGATAATGATACAAGCTGACAGTGCAATTCAGCAATAACAAAGGCAGCAGTTGTCATAAGTTGACAGTGAGTGACCAGGGCAGAGCAGGAACTGGGATCTAGAACACTGGCCCATAACTATGATCAGGTTTCTTCTAAAAGTTCTGGGAAACAGAGGCATTTCCAGCAGCAATCCCATCTTACCTAGCACTGGTGACCCAAGAACTACAGACTGGCCAGCAGTGCTGGAGTCTCTTGGCTCCTTGCCCAGGTGCCCATCAAAGGGACGCACTCTGCTCCTTCCAAACACTGGCCAGTGCTCAGTACAACACATCCCTTGCCAGCCTGCTTATTCCTCTCAGTTCTGTTGCATGCTGAGTGTTTTTATGAACTCAGCATAATGGCTAAAGCTATTTTAGTCCTCAAATAATTTGAAAATTAAATGAACATTTGCCTCTGGATTCCTCCTAATTTCTAGAGACTGTCTGCCCACGAATGGGTAAACTACTGTAGCAAAATACAACACAATCAATCTTACATTACACTGAGTGAATGGCAGAATATGCAGCTTATCCACAAGAGATTTTCCAATTAAAGGGGAAAGCTTATGAATTATAGCTCATTAGATAAGAAATGCAGTTATGAAAGGAGCTTCATACACTAGGTGCAGAATTTCCTTGTGTTGTAAGAGAAAAAAAAAGTTACCATTGAGAATAACTGGGTATTATTGTGGATTTTATAAGAACCTGAACATTTTACTCAGTTACTTTCTACACAATTACTCCTCCAGCAGGCTAAAACTACAATAGCAGTCAAAGCTCTCAGGTTTTGGAGGGTTTAGGGGATTAGTTTTGTTTGTTTGTTGGCTTTTATGAAATAGAATTTGATAATCTCTCATTTGTTTTCCTGAAGATTAGAAGAAAAGTTATCAAAACAGGGTTTCAGAGATCATAAAAGATACAGAATATTGACCTCCTACTCTCCTCCAAATAACAGCCTCTCTTTCTCCTCCTCTTCAAGGTTCATAAAGGCAGAACTCTGAAAGCCAAGATCTAAATTGTTGCCAGAGTTGAATGCAAAAGCTGCCCCTACTCCTAATTGTGCAACACTTGTAGTATCAAAACTAAATGAAAGGTATAAGATTTATCTGCTTTAAAAAAATTTATGCCCCCATCCTGCAATCAGATTCACAACATCTTGCAACAGAAGAACAGTCAGACCTCGCTTTAACTGAACAAAGATTTTGCTGCAACTCTTTAGGAAATATCTCTCTGGCACGAGTGCTTTTTTGTTTGCTCTTAAATGTTGGCACATACAGTATCATGCAAAAAAAAAATTAAAACTAAGCAACATAAGTCACTTAAATGAAGAAAAAATATTTAAATTAGCAACAGAAATGGCAACCTACTTTGCCACCAGATGAGGATATCAGGGACAATATGCCCACGGGAGCTTGCCCTTAGAAACCCAGATGACCAAACAGCAAACTAAAGGTGACCTATACAGAAACTAAACACAACTCTTGCAATGAACAAGACTCCTACAAACCTTCACTGCAGCACATATTAACAATGATTTCCAGAGCAGTCTGCTGAGCCGTCAGTAAAGCTGTCACTTCTTTCAGTTCCCACTTATCAGACTAAAAAATTAAAAACATGAACCAAATTTGATTTTGGAAAACAACATTTAAGTGCCATTTAAAGTATCCAAGCTGTCAGTTAAAAATACAGTCCCAGTCATTTCCTCTTCTCAGTCCAAACTTGAAAAAAAACCCCGAAACACAAACCCAAGCAGTGTTATCTACCATCTTTTTGCTGGATGTTCCAGAGTAAATTCTATTCTCAAAGAATGTCATTTGCCCTAAAGTTGTCCAAACGCCAGTCAGCCACACTTACTGGAAGTAAATCTGAAACGTCATTTTCTCTTCTGACTTTTCCTTTTGGTATTTCTTCCATGTTATTATCTTCACTCAAAGCACAGTTTTCTGTAGTATCGCCCATGTTTTCCTCAGTTTCTGCTTCCACAGGAAATTTTAACCCGTTTTTTTCAGCTTCATTCATACGAATAATTGTTTCACCAGCGTCTATTGCCAATGATTCTGAAAATACCTTCAGGATTGCATTAACTGTGCTTCCCAGGCTGCCTGGTGGAATGGTATCCTTTATATTCCAGATAGTGCCTAAATATGAGGTAACCAAATGATATAAATTATTAAAGTGCTCAATTCCCAGCTCTGTAATAGCCATTGTGTAAGGACACGGCCTCCACTACGTAAAATACTCAGTGCTTATATTCTCTATAAGTATTAAAGTGTTTCCTTTACAGATTTCTATTTTTTTTTTAACATTTAATATACTCATCTGTAATAATTGTTATGCCCACATCCTCAGCTCAAGTAAATTTCAGCATGTAAATATTTACAGAATATTTATGCGGCATGACCTTGGTGTCACTCTGTACCTGAGATAACAAATCCTCATGCAAGAATCATTTTCTAAGGAGTCTCAAAATTAATTTATTACACTCCAGTATCTAAAATCATAATGGTTAAACATTTGAAGCAACAAGAACTCAAGGTGGAGAAATCTGCGGTAAAAAAAAACTTGCAACCGGTAAAATCAAAACAACTCCTGTCACACTTATTTTTCACTCATTTAACTGTTAAAAACTATGTGAGCAGTTAAAGTGTGCTATCACACTGAGCAGGGGCTGAATTCAGAATCAGTTTTAAAACTAGTTGCAAATATCTACTTGAGTTCTGAAAGGCAGATATAACCTCACAAACCATCTGTACAGGCCTTGACAATCAGATGCCCAGACCACAGCAGAGAAGATTAAGCCTTCTGTCCTTCCCAGCCTCCTTTACCTGCCATGCTCCCCATCCCAAAGCAATGAACCCCCCTGAGCACTGTACCTGCTATCAGTGTTCTCAGAAGGATGTGCTTCATGGTGCTCTCTGGACTCAGCATCACTGTTTCCAACATTTGTTGTGCAGAAGCATTAAATGAAGAAAGAAGATCTGGATTATCTTCTGTCACTGCCTGCAAGCAGTTTGCTGCAGCAAACAACAAGAGCAAACATAATTAACAAACCCAGTAGTAGCTTTTGCTCTGCTAATGAGAAAGCATTATCTTCCTGAAAGCTGGAGTAATGAAATGCTGACACAGGAAAAAAAATTCAAGCAGCATTATGTTGTAACGGTCTGACACTGTCCTTCACAAGCTGTGTTTTGGATTAGAAGACATTCTATGGCAAACCCATACATAAAATAGGTGAGGACAATACTACATCAACCATGTAATTTATCCATTATATACTGACAATGGACAGCATAAAAAATGCTGGAAGCACACATACCTGTATGACCATTATGAAACTATAATAACAATAATACTGATAAAACCAGACTGAAAGTGATTGGAATTGTTTGGGGTTTTTTTAGAAGGACCATCAACTCCGCTCAACAAATTAAAACCTCCATTATCAAAACATGAAAACACACTGAAAAACACAGCCTCCATCTAAAGCCCTCTTCCCACATAACCACGAATAAGCCATTCTCTTTTGGACTGAAAAGAAGCACAAGAGAGGTCAGCTTCTTTATTATGTGCTGGTCAAAAATTAATTTAAAGTCTTACATTCAGTGCAAAGTCAAGCAATGCTAAAGCGGGTCCATTATGCAATGAAAGCAATATCAGTGTTACATTCATACAATTAAAAAAAAGTATCTTTAAACCCTTCTGTTTTAACCACTTACCTACTGAAATAGCCAGATCCACATTTGTGGCAAATTTCTTCATATAACGTAACACAGCCTCCAAACATCCTTCTTTATTGAATATGTATAGGGCAGTATTGTTGCATTCACTAATGTATGGAAAAGATCAGTCAAACATTTTTCCAAGAAAAAAAAAGTACTGTAGCAACATCTTAAGCACCCCATACTTGTTATTACTCACTCACATTTTTAAAAGACACCTAAGAATTACACAGTAGTCAATTGAGGTTACAATCAAGCCTGTATGAGATGGTGAAAGAGAAGCTGAAAAATCCTGGGCACTTTTGAGGAAAGCTGGTTTGTGCCAGCTGCTTCCTCACACAGTGTTCAGAGTTTATCTGGGAGCTGAACTACAGGCTACTGCTGGAGTGTGGAAGGCAGCTCAGAGCTGTGGGCTGCAAGCCAGCCCAGGGCTTCCTGCAGCCACAGGAGATTTCACCCACAAACCCACTGCCAGCAGAGCAGGCTGCTGCCTCTCACATCAGTACTCACTCCACAAAATGACTGCTCTTACCATTCAGAAATGCATTTACTTTCATTATCTAACAGTGAAATTTGTGTATCTTCAATTTCTCACAGGTACTCTCTCTTTTAAATTGACATATTTATACAAGACTAATTCGAACTAAAAAAAGCACAGGAGCTGACTAGCTACAAGCTATAGCTACTAGCTATATTTTCAAAACTTTAATTTTGAAACTATTTTCAAAATATTATCTCAGCATCAATGCCAGCCCTAATTTTATCAGTATCAAGCTTAGCAATGAAACAAGTTCACATTCCTTACCACAAAGTTCAAAATACAGATGTGATTTACATCACACTTACTGATCATACTTCCTGTTCTCAAGTTCTGACTAAAAAGCAAAAAAAAATATGAACACACAACATTGCTGAGTCAGTTACAAAGGGTCATGTATTCTGTGCAAGATGCTGAACAAGGAGTTTATCTACTGTTCTAGATTCCAATCCCTAAAAAATAAATATCCCAGCTTAGAAATAAGACCTCAAGCCAGCAGCCATATCACACAGACAGGCATAGAGGCAGTTCCACTGAGGCTGTACAGCACAAAACAAAATCCTGTATGCAAAGTGTATCACGTGAGAAAAAATTAAGAGAAACAACACAAAGTTCAAGGAGAACTTTTGGAACAGATTTGTATCACTTCAATGTTTACAGTAATTTCTGTATTAATAGTGTTGCCATTTCTCTTCCTTCAGCTCGTGTTTCCAATGTAAACTGCTAATAGAATAATTTACATTATTTTCTCATACAATAAGTAAATTTTTATCAGTGTCTCAGTAACTAAGGAATAGTTGCCCCAAAAAGTTAATATTAATTTTTGGAATGACCTGCAGAGGAAGGAAGTAGTATAAAAAATCTTCATATTCCGAGAGCACTGATCCATTGATCAGAATTTCATTTTCTCAGTTTCTTGTATTGTGATACGGATCTACAGGAAATATATGCAAGAAGCCACAACCCAAACAACAGACTATGACAGAACAAGTTCAGAAAACAGGATCATAACTCAGGATGAAGAACCAGTAGAAAAAAAGAGTTTGCTACTCTTCTAAAACTAATTACCAACTTTGTGCAATTTTAGAATATTTCACTTAAAAAAGGTAATGTATACTAGAAGATAAACTTTTATTTCAGATAAGATGAGGGCTCATCATTATTAAAGCAAGGTACATGTAGGAGCAACACAATCAGAATCAGCAAATGAATGCATCTTCCCATGCCAGGACAGTGATTTCTTTTTTGCCTCACTTATCACACTCCTTTTCAGGAACTATTTAATTTAGCTAAAATGCCAGTGTTTACATAGTACCTACCATATATTCCACAGCAAATTAATAGCCTCATTGGCTATGTCTTCAGTATAATTTTTGTTCCTCTCTTTGCATTTCTTTGGAGAGAGCTGGTTAGCATCCAGTTCAGTGCTGCACTACAACCAAACAAAAGAACCAGGGTTGGGAAACAATCAAGTCACAAAGAGAAGCAAAACTAACTTTAAAGTATTATCAGCACTGAGTGGAGAGATCCTCTCATGCAGTGTTTATTACCAGAACACCTAACTAGTTTCCTTTCTTTATGAAAACTTGAACCATTGATAGTTTTTCTCTTGTAGAAAGACTCTTACAGTACTCACTTTGCAGTTAGTATTTGGAATCACTTTCTAATTAAAAAAATACTTGGGAATTTTAGAACCTGAAGTTCTGTTGCTCGCTAATAGTCTGTATGCCATTGGCAACAGGTGCTTCTAACCACAAAGATTAACTCAGCTAATACCTTACTGCGCTCTATAGTAATGCTACTACTCATATTTTAAAATGGGGAAGAAACATACAGAAAATTATGATATTGCTCAAGGCTGCTCATAGAAAGACAGCAGGTAAGAGAAATCAATGCAATATCCAAATTGCAATGCAACACCTGGACCAAACAAAGAATACAAATTCAGTACAGGTTATTCTACAGTAACTTTCCAGCTCTAGATCCAAATACCCATTGAGACAAAATTGCTCGCCAAAAAAACATCAGTACAATAATACCGCAACATAAATGAAGGACCTTGATTCTCACTGACAGAACAAACTTGTCTTAACTGACATTACAGACCCAAAATGTCCAAACCTTTCATTCAAAAATCATCCTAAGCAGCAAACCTCACCATGGACACAAGTTAGGTGGCCAGAAGCCAGGAGGTAGCAGTCAGAAATCTCTGGAATAACTTTTGTATCACTAAACATATCAAAACATTGTTTTAAAAGATTTTTCAAGTACCTTATTGCAAAAGCAGCTACAAAAATAGAACTGCTTTTGTATATGGGACAATTAAATGCCTAGATCAGGTTTAAAATCAAAATAAAAATAAGCACACCTCTTTGAGAAGTACAACCAGGGGTGTCATGATGTCACTTGTCACCATGTCATCACAGACATCAAATCCTCCACAAGCACTCAGATTTCTGGGGAAAACAAAAAATTAGTGTTTTGGATGAGATACAATACCTTTCAAAAACATTTCAAAAACCCCATGCCTTTGATATTCTTCTCTAAACGTTATGGTACTTTTTGTTTTAAACTCAATTTGCTTAAACAGTAGCTTTAGTTTTCTACCTCACTAACACAAGAGAATAACCTTGGAGTTAAAAAAAAATATTTCTATTTATTCATTAAGCATAGTTAGAAAGTTTATCTGTACTAAAACATCACGACACAAACTGCACTCAAGTTCTATTTCCTCAAAGCCATACACTACTAGCACAAAGCCTGCTCCTGACATTAAAGTCTGCCAGAGCAAGAAAAGCCCCTCTCCCACAGACTTCAGCTGATGCAGGCATAGTTCCTCAGGCCAGAATTAAAGCAAGAGAAGCTTTAAGAGAAGAAGGCACTGCAGTTCACAGCTGTCACCAACAGAACCCCACAGTTTTCCCCCGTGCCAGGATCCCCTGATTCCACCTGAGCAGTGGCCAGTGCTTACCGGAGAGCACCTGCAGCAGTCTCCCTGACAGCTAAGCTGGGATCCATCAGCAAGGGCCCCAGACAGCGCACCACGTCCTGCTGCACAAAGGCTGGGATGACGTGCTTCTGCTGCAGCAGCTTGGAAATCCCGGCACAGGCATACTCCCTCACTTCAGCACTGGGGTGCTGCAGCTGCAGAGACACGGACAGGGTATGTCACAGTGAGGGAAAATGGAGCTCAAGGGTTCTCCTGAGTGAAAAGATTGATCAGGGCCAGCACCGTGGTTGCCATTTTACTGCTCTGAATGGAAGCAGGAACTTTTAACTTCCATGAAAGCTTATAAGCCCTTGCCTGGGCTATGTGTGTTAACTTTATGACTAGATAAATGCTATTCTGGGTATATGACAAGATAGCCATAGGCCAGACACAGATTTGACACTAGCTGGCACTGGTGAGACCTCAATTACCATGTATTAAAAAAAAGACTGAAGCGAGAGGGGAAAATATCATCACTGAAGTGTAACAGACATAACACATGCTACCATAAAGACAAGCTGAAAAAACATAAAAACAAAAAATGTAGTCTTTAACAAAAAGCATCTGCATAACAGCAAGAAACAAGTGTTCCTTACATTCCCCAAGATAATGTTCACACAAGCTGTAACAGTTTTAGGTGAGACACAAGAATTTCAAATTGCAAAATTAATAACACAGTAGAAGTGCATATCCTGGAAGGCCACTGAGTCTGTTGAAAACCTAGCAGATAAACATCTGCTGAAGAGCAGAACAGAAGAGTGGTAACATCAGATCCTGCCTCCACTGAAAAAGGGGTCTCAGCTCATGCTCATCTGTACCTTTATTTATTCATTTATTCTCTCTTCCCATCTCTTTTCTAAACAGGTTAGTCCAAAAGAATAATCAATAAGTGGTGTGTTCAAGGAGTTAGGGTGGGGTGAAGAGAGCAAAGGGGATTTAATTACTTAAAGGAAAACGGATTTTTGGTTCTGATTCTGAAATCACACCTGCGGAAGGAGATTTACATCAGTTTTCACCTGCAATACTTAAGCCAGGACCATGGCCTACAAGCGGCCAAACGCAGTCTTTCTCAGCATTTTCTATCCCTTATTCCTTACATGTGGCTCTATCCGCGTGCAGAAGTCTCCGGCCGGGGAGACCGAACGCGCGCCCCGCAAGAGCTGCTTGGCCCCCGCAGGGCGGAGGGGCCCGGAGCGGCCCGCCCCTTCCCGCCGCCGCAGCGCGGGCGGTGCCGGTGCCGCCCCGCCGGGCGCGGCCGTGACGCCGCGGGAGCGACGGCCGGGAGCGGAGCGGAGCGGAGCGGAGCGGAGCGGAGCGGAGCGGAGCGGAGGGAGGGGCGGCCCCGCGCGGCCGCTCGGCTCCTTCCCGCCGGGGTGGAACCGCGCCCGGGCCCTCGCCCGGCACCGGCGCGGGGGAATCCGAGGCCTCGACCCCGTGCCCGGCCCCGCAGCCCCCGCCGCTCCCCCGGTCCGGAGCGGGGTTCCCGTCCAGCCCGCCCGCGCCCGGCGCCCGGCCCCGCCCGCACCTTCTCCAGCAGCTCCGCCGCCGCCTCCTCCTCGGGGCCGCGCTCGCCGTCGCGCTGCTGCGCGGGGCCGGCGGCGGCTCGGGGCGCCCTGCGGAACCGCCGCGCCCGGCTCTTGCCCATGGCTGCCTCGGCGCCGGCGCGCCCACGTGTGCGGCCCCGCGCAGGCGCCGCGCCCGCCCCGCCCCGCCCCGCCGCACGTCCGCGCCCGACCCCGGCCCGGCTCCGAGGGACCACACCGCGCTTGCTGCGCTCAAACGAGAACATTATCACGAGAAACAATTTCCTCTAAGGGCACTTACAGAGGCGGGATTGACCTGGAGCATGGAAACCTGGAAGGGGTTTCCTCTCGGGTGTCAGTATCTTAGATTATAAGACCCACATCAAATACAGGAAATGTTGGTCCGGTATGAAAGTTAGAGAGTGCAGCTATAAATTTTCTGAAGTTCTTCTGTGTTCAGTGGAGATCTGTATTTGCACAGTACAAAAGAAGATAACACCTGTTTATACAAAGATTTTATTTTATACACATTTACCTACAAAATATACAGCAGTTAAAAATAATGGATGGGCAGAAGACTTACTGGAAAAAAAATCCAGAAGACAATTCTTAAGTTTCAACTGACAAAGTTACATCAATTACTGCCTTTAAAAGCCAGTCTACCCTGTAGTAGGGGTTACTGAAGTTGCAAGAGCTTTGCAGTTAGAGTCAATTTAAAGAGTTCAAAACATTTTAAAAGGCACCTTGAACAACTTAAACCCTTAAAATTTGCCAGTTTTAGCTATTCAAAAGTTACACTTTATGTGTATACCATCCACGCCTTGTTGTTAACACTCTGAATAACAAACTTTGTTATTTTATTGTGGCACTCTAGATTTTCTTCACCAAATCTTAAGTTACACATTTGCAATACCAGTTTCGTATTCTGACTATCAGAGCATAAAAATCCACTCAGAATGGTCAGGTGGATTTAGATACAGTACAAACTTACAATTGGGAAGATATAAGCATATTTAAGACAATTAAAAAAAAATAAAATATTAAAATAAGTGTTTTGAACCAGATCAAACAAGAAACTACGTATGACCACAAGGAAAGTGGCTGGTGCACTATATACACAACTTGACAAATGTAATCCTTGATATATTTGCGAAGTTCTTAAACAGTAAGACCAGTTTTCTCCGGCACAAACAGTCAGTCTTCCTGCGAGCCTTTAAACCAGTTCCAAAAGAGAGACCAGGAGACAAGGACGGCTGCAATGAGGAAGTGTGCTAATAAAACATCAGGAGAATGGCAAACGTTCCTTTCAATTCTCTTCATGAGAACAAGAAAATCCATACACCAGATTTTACTTTTTTCCTGAACATTGGCATCAATCTGCTATTTACAATAGCTTAGAAAGACACGTAACACAAATGAGGTTTCATTTTCAAGTTCAACTTCATTGCCGATTAACATACTTCACCTGTATGTTCTGTTCTAGCTGAAGTAAAAAAGTAACACTAATACTGAAAAAGAGGTAATCAGAAGTAGCAAAAGCACTGATAATGTGATAACAAAGAATTTGGATAAATATTCAAGAAAGTAATATTGCACACTTTCACTGTCAACTGTGTTAAGACTTTTACTCCCAGGCAGTGACAACCAGTCCCATTTAATTTTTTTGCTGTCATACTACCTTAAAAAAGGTCATTTTTGGTTTCCATGGCAGTGGAAAAAAATGAAGGAAGACAGCCCTTATTGAACATGAGGCCTAGGTTTCAAAATTAATTTTCCAGTCTGCAAGACAGAAAAGAAAACAAAGTTTAAACCCTGAATGCTGAACCCAACAATTAAACTTCAAGTTCAGTGTTACAGTGAGAGTTTAAAACAACACACAAAATGATACTAAGTATTCCACATTCCAGTTTTACAGACACACAGAATTTTCTGAGGTATAAACAAGTACTGTTCAGAAAAACAGACTCTGTCCTTTTGAATTATTTCCCTTTTTTCTTTTAACAAAGAAGATTTAGGCAATGAAGCACTAACACTTACATCATCACAGGACATATTATATTCTGCCAAAACAGTTCGGCATCGGGCTGCTATACTGTGTGGATTGTGTCAAGGAAAGCAAGTAACACTTGTACACACAGTGAGCAAAAACTAAAAAAGCAGTATTAGCACAGGCTCCAACAACTACAGGAACTACACTTTTAACGTGACAAACATTATCAAAGGATACATTGATGGTGCCACCACTCTTTTATGTATTCCAGCAAAGAACAAGCCTATTAGGGTAATACAGCTAATTGTGAAAAATGGGTGATTCCAAAGTGACGTGAAAAATGATACCTAGGAAAGAAATCAGGTTATTCCAACTGCATACTTCCTAAAACACACAGAAAGTTGCTACCTAGATCCCTTAACTAAAAATAAAATACTGCTCCTAGCCATTTCCAAGTACTTGTGAACAATTCTTTAGATAAGCATTCAGAGTACAGTATTTTGGCAGGCAATGTCCCAGGACACATTCCATAACAATTCCAGACAGCTTGATAGCTTGACTAAAAATCACCTCCCAGTTTCATGTGAGAATGTGTTCAGCCTTCCAGTTTCCAATACACCACCTGACTGCAGCACCAAGCTATGGAACACAGCACATTTGGCATTAGCCTGACCTTACCTTTTGTGTCTCTGGGTCTATTAACCAGTTCCAAGCCCCAGTTGCTGTGCAGACTGATACCACTATCAAAATCACTGATGAAGAAAAGAATGAGAGTCATAAACAGTATACGTCACTCAAATTTAAATGTATTTATTTTTCAGCAGCAACTCTTAAACATTTATTTCTTTTCTCACTTCTGAGGGAGGAGAAGCTCCTAATTGGAAAGCAGAAATGAAAATATGCGAAGAAACTTCTAATATGTGAAACCCTAAGGATTCTGTACAAACTTCCTGGACAGAACAAGTACATCTGAAAAATCTAAATTCTGTCAAGTAAAAACATCCTGGTCCTTTAAAGGAACCAGAGTTATCTTTCCAAAAGATTATCAAAAATACAGAGCTTCTTCTCTATATCATATAGATACTTTATTTTTTAGGATAACAGGAAGAAAAGTTAACATTGGTCACACACCCCATTATAATTAAAATAGAAAGTCCCTCTTTTATGTGAATTACAAAACAAGCAATTCGGGAAAAAACATGAGCCACTGAATACAATACCATTTATGCAAACCTCATTTAAATATGCTTAAAAGTCTCCAGGAATTTTTTTTTTTTAGATTATAACTGACAGAAAACAGCAATTTTGGAAGCCAAATGCATTCCTAAAGTAGGTGTGCACAAACTCAGCAGAACTACACATAAATATCTGATTGCCCTGGAACAAGGGGGTTTGAGGTCGTGGTAGTGGTGTTTGGTTTTGCTTTCTAAGCAGTCACTCTTTCAGTTCCTTCATTCAAAATTGACCTCTCAGGAGAAAACATACTATTTTATGTGTTCTAAAAAAAGTCTGTATTCTTTGAGTAGAAAAACTTCAGCAGTCTCAGAAACAAAACAAAGTTGTATGTTTCCACCACAGACCAGTGATCCCAAAGCTGGCAGCATATCTGTGGAATTTTTTGCCTTCCCCCCTCCTTCAAACCTTCCTGTCATAACAAAGCTGCCTTTATGGCACACTGCTGTAACTTTTTCACCTTCTGTTTTAGAGGGACTATCTCACCTAACCATATTTAGTTTAAGTCTGCAACAATCTGGGAAGTCTGAGTCTTGAAGAAAAAAAACTTCAGTAACATAATAAAAAACCAAATAAAACAGAAACAAACACAACTTATTGTTTCAGGTATTTCCAGAATAATTCAGCCTTGAGCCAATTCAAACTTAACCTAATTTTTCTAACTCTGGCTAAAATATTAGTTTATTATCCTGTATGAACTTGTTGCAGAGTGTTTGAATGTATGCCACAAATTTTAAAGCAAGTCTAACTACAAATTTTTCTTTGAGCAAACTTAAATAAAGGATACACACTGGTAAATCTAACAAGCATGAAAAACAATTTATTCCTTGGAACATCAAACTTACTTCTCCAACGTCCTGTAGCAGGTTGCAAACATGCAATGTATTCAGTAAGTCTTCTTTCAAAAGCTTTGAGATCTGGGGAAGATGTGTATCAAACATAATTAGATCATTTGTTTAGTCATATTTCAAAGTAGAAGATAAAAATAATTCCCCCATGCACACCCAGTTCTTAAACTGGCAGAAAAAACAATGCAATTATCCTTTATATGCAGCAGAAGTACAGCCATAGTAGCTTTACTCAATTTCAGGAAAGAAGTAAGTGGTGGAGTTAATCTAAAAGCAAAAAAACATTCCCACTTACAAAAAGAAAAATCAATACAGTTAAGAAATCGCATTATTTCAGACATCTTTAGAAATAGTGATTTTGATTTATAGTAACTTAAACTGCCTCTCAAAACAAAAGTATCACATTTTGAAATACTAAGTATATCAGAAAACCATTACTTCCTAATATCAATATAATGGCAATTTAAAAAAATAGTTGGTCATTTGCCACTGTTCAAAGGGTTATTGTAGCAGTGTGGCTTTGTTGACTTTGTTTTGTAGAAACTTTGAGTATCATGATATATATACACAAACATATGCAAAAAATCCCACAGCAAACACTACTCCAATGATCTTATTCCAATCATTATTTTTAAAAATAGATCTTTCTTCTTATTGCCATAATTCTCCCATGGTCTTTCCACCAAAATTGCTATTAAATCCATTTCAAGTTGATACTCCTAATTGTCTCCAAGGAGCTGTTTCACTTAAGTCCAGGTTAGATTTACACTCCTTTCAACAAGGTCAATATTTGGTAACATTCCAGCTGAAGCTAGAATTCTACCTGAAGTAAAGTTTTAATTAGGATCAACTCAACTTTCGGCTAAAGTCTCTGACAGCATCAATGTGGAACTTCAACTTCCAACTATTGCTATATTAGTTATCTCAATAAAACAATTAAAGAATAAGCTTGGAAGAAATAAATCTATTATAATCACTATAAAAGCAGCTGTCTACACTGTGAATTTATTCCTAAGTGGTTTGCAGGTGAATTTATGGGGGAAGATTACAGTATCTTGACTTTAGCCACAGAACAGCTAACTAGTCTTAATTACTGCCAAGAACAGGGTAGTTAATGGCCTGTCCTCCACATCCCCTTCTGGGGAAGTTAAGCCACCGCCGGCAATTACAGCTAATTAACTGTTCCCTGAAAAGCACAAACCCCTCCAACTAGTCACTGAAGCGAAAGGGGGAACACAAGGCACCACACTAAAACTCACTATTTGAGAAACAGCACCCCGAAGGCATAAAAACAGGCTATTGACAACAAAGCATTCAAGAAAACACTCACATAATGCAGACATCACTGAAACAAAATATGAAAAAAGACTTTTTCAGAAAAATGTAAACGAAAGTTTTAACTTATTTTCAACTATGCACGCTCTAAGAACCTTCTCCGAGTTGATGCTTTTGGCAGCTGTGACTAGCAGGGGACACTTCTGGGAACCCTCAGATTGCACAAGCATAGCAACGAAGCCCTGACAACGCCGGACTATCGGCTACTGTCGACACTGCCTACTTCTGGTGCCAGCTACAAAACACCTGCTAATTCCCAAACACTGGTCCATTTTAAAAATCTCTGCCAGTCTTTGGACACTGAAAACTCCTTTCGGGGTTTTGACATTCTGCAAGCTGTAACTTCCAAGAACTTGTAACCCAAACCATCAAGTGTCCCCAGACAAGAAGGGGCTACTTGAGGTCGCGTTCTTCAAATGCGAAAGGAGCCCCGGCTCAGCGTAACGCCTAGTGCCGTAAGAAACGCGTCTCACGCAAAAAGCCGTGAGCGGCAAGGAGCTCCCCGAGCACAAGAGGATTTCCATCAGCTCCAGCCGAGCAGCGGCAGCGAACGGGAACCGCGGGCACCCCCTCCTCCTCCCCGGGCGGGCAGCCGCCCTCAGCACAGGCCCTCCCGCGGGCCGCCGGCAGCAGCGCAGCCCGCCCCGAGCGCGGGACGCCGAGCAGGCCCCGGAACCCCGCCCTAGCTCGCCTGTCTGGGCCGAGGAGGAGCGCCGGGAGCGCGGTGCAGAGGGAGCCGAGGCCTCCCGCGGCCGCTTCGTCCCGCTCCGCAGGGACGGGGCAGCGCGCTCGGGCAGCCCGGGCGCAGAGCCGGCAGCTCCCGGCGCGCCGAAGAAGCAGCTCCGGGCCCGCTCCGAGCGGCCGCACTCACCCTCAGCCTGGTCCAGGGAGTTCATGGCGGGCGGGCGGAGCGGCGCGCACCGGGCGGAGCACCGAGCACGGGCCGTTCCCCGCACCGCCCCGCCGGCCCGGCCCCGCAACAACGCCCCGCGCTACTCGCCCGCAGCAAGCGCGCCTCGCATTGGCTACCGGCGGGAAGGGGCGGGCTCGGCCGGCTCGGGTGTGCTGTCCGACGGCTGTGCTGAACTTTATTTATTAAACAGCAGAGCGGGGTTTTTCCTTTTCTACGCCTCCTAACATCCTCACGACACTTGAGGCAGCTGTTCAATATACGTGTCCCGGCAGAAAAGAAGAGCTAGAAAAGAAGATACAATATTCTTCCTTCAAGACAGCCAGGGTCCACCTCTACACTTGTTCATTCGGGGGCTTTTCTACACCCTCCCACTCGCAGGCACCAGCCAGCGCTCCAGCACGGCCAGGCTGCTCGCCCAGGCGCTTGCAAGAGCCACTGCACAGATTTAAAGGCTGCTTTTGAAAACAGGCCCAGCAAGACTGACCTGGGATCTCCTCAGCAGGGCCAGGCAAAGCTCTTGCAAGCTACAGACACGAGCAGCAGGCTGAGTATGCTACACAGGCAATTCAATTCATCAGGGTTTCTGTGCAGGAGGATGGCACTGGGACAGGAAGACATCTGTCTCTGGGTGTGGGGCATGTATCTCTGGTAGAAGGGGTGTGAGGTGCTTGCACACATCGGCCCTTGTCCCCGTCCCTGGGGCTCATTGCTGCAGGAGCGGTGTGGCACCGTGGGGACAGGGTTTGTAGCAGGGACAGCAGCGGCGGTGTGGCCCCGCTGTGCTCCAGCGGCAGCAATCGCCTGCTGGATGGAACAGCCGAAATCCCGGTCAGCCAAAAGGAGCGCTGAAAGGTTGGGTTTCTTTGTGAGCGTCCCACGGGACATGCAGGGATCAGCCATCAGGATCCCACAGCCCTGCTGCTGCTGGCCCAGCTGGGCTGCAGAGGTGACTGAACTGGTCTGTTTGCGGAATGAAAGCTTTCTGAGTTACTGAGTGACTCGATTAGCGAGCTCTCCAGGGACCGGGCTCTGTGCGCTGCCATCTGTTTTCAGCTCACTGGTACTGGAGCCTGGATTCTATTTTGTAGGCCAGTAAGAATTTCGTGTTGCTTAAAGCAGAGGCGCTGCAGTGCTCTCAGGGTTGGGATCTGGTCTAATTTCTCTCCGTCTGTTTCTTAAAAGGAAAATCACGAAAATATGATTTACAGTAATTTTGCTCTTATTGGTTTAAGCATAATTACAAAAATTTGTGTATTCTAGAATTTCATGCATTACTTTTGCTTTGGTGATGGCTCACTGAATGTAAATGATGGCCTATTATTTTCTTAAGAGTGTTTGAATCCAGCTTCTTATAGTTTTGCCTAGTTCGTTTATACCAATTTTGCAATGTAAAAACCAGAAAAAACATGATACTCGTAGTGGTTGGATTATGTCTTCCATGTGGGAAGGCAGAACACCTCAATGGTGTTTTTTCTGGCTGTTGACAAAGACTATAGCCTATATTAGCATTGGAGTTTCACTGAATCAAAAACTGGAGTATGGGAAGTAGGTGTTTTCTTCCTTTCTACAACTGTACTCTTGCAGTTTGTAGATCCTTAAATTAATCAGACCCCAGGAAACTGGATGTTGCTCTGAAAAAGTGAGTTCTCTGCATAGCCCTTGTGGATTTTTAGCATCCTGAAAGGATCAGAAAGTTATTATTTGCATTAAGCTATTTATATTTATGTGAACTTGCTGATGTGCAGATCTCCTCTGGTCTTTTACATTGCTCCAGCTATTAGGTTTATATAATAGATACAGATATCATAAAGCTGTTTTTTATTCAAACTTCAATGATTTGTGACACTTAGAGGCTGAACATACATCAGGAAAAAAATTCCAAGATCTATAACTCTTGAGATACTTAAGTAAATTATAATTCCTTTATTGTTTCTAATGTAAAACTTCTTGGACTGTTAAAAATGCTTGGAATTTTTTCCCCCCAAATAGGTTTTACTGTCTACTGTACAACTCTGTTGACTAGCCAAGATAAATGAGGCAAGGCAATGTAACTGTCATGGCACTACGGCTATGACTTAAATAAACTGTTTCTTAGGGTTAGTGCATCTGTTAGTAACCCTTGATATCTTTTTTTGCCAACACGTGTGAAGCCTGAAAATTAACAGCCTAAGCAAAAGGGCTGGGTGTACTCTTGGATTGCTTCACAAGGCAGAGGTGGTTGGAAGAATCATGCTTTGTCAGTTTAGAGTGCTGTCTCAAGTATCTCAAGGTGCAAGGAATGCATCTTCCTGAGTTTAGCATCTTTGGTATCTATTTCTGATTCTCACAGCTGTACTTGGAGCATAATGTGAGAGCATCTGTTGGCAGCATCTGCTATCAGAGATAATTAGGCTGGGTCACTTGTTTCTTAGTTTGATTGCTTTTCCGGCCGTCTGTATTTTTTAGCTTACACATCCTTTCTCATACTCATTTTCCTCTGAACAATCCCTCCCTCTTGAGGCAATATGTTACTTCAGAGATTCTGTGATAATGTTTAAGACTGTTACATATTCAGTCTTTTTGACTTTACTAATCCTGTATTTTTATAAATCTGTTTACTGCAGTAAGTTTGACAAATATAATCCTAACTTGCATTTAGTGATACAATGATAGTGTTTACATTCTTTATATTTCTTTTTTGAGTTGATTTTGGAAGATTAAAGCTTAAATCTTATCAAGAGACTGGGAGTTTTCTGTCAGAAGATCCATACTCAGGACTTCTTGGTATAGACAACAAAAAAAATCTGATCAGAAGACTCCATTACTTTCTTTTTTTTTTTTTGTAGCAGGCTTATAGAAAATATTTTAAAGTTTTTCCTGGAAGATGAGCTTCATCAAATAGATGCATATTCTGTAGTAAAGAAAATGTCTTTTGTTAGACAACTGAATGAAGTTAAGAAGTTCAGAGGATCATCTCTACACAATGTAAGTAAAGTGTAGAAATATGGACTTTGTGTGTGTATCTTGATGCAATAGAAGATTCATTTTCACTTCTTAGAAGTGTAGTATGAAACTTGTTCTGCCACATTGAACATGATAAATTATGTCTTGAGATGCTATAAATGGTTTGAATTCTGGTAGACTGTAAAGCTAATTTGTGTTCCTCTGCTATTTTTCTGCAACTGGAATGAGATTTTTTATAATTTTAGGTACTTACAGCAGGTGTGGTGAAACTTCACTGTCGTATTCCATCTAACACTTCAGAAGACTGGCTTCTTTTATTCAGAATAACTTAATCTCTTATTTAGCTTATTGTTCTTCTTTACACACCTGTCACACGAGAAATACATCAGATTCTGGGCAAGAAATCAAATCAGTGCCAGCAATCCAATAAGAATCTGCATTTCTGCTGCTTCAATAATTTCCTATTTGTGAATCAGGCCATGATAGTTCCTTTGGAAGGTGACTGAATTTGTAGTGTTGAACTGGCTCTGCATTTACTTAGTGTTCCGAACTGGCTTTTACTCAGAAATTAGGCCCAGCCACCTCCAGCCCTCTGATAACTGAGGACCAGCTGGAATGCAAGGGAATTTATTTTCTGCCAAATTTACTTACACTTAGCACAAGAAACTCCCTCATCAGATTCTTGTTCACCTTTTTGTCACTTTTTAAAAATAGGATATGGATTCTTGCTCAGTCTTGAACCATATGTATTCAGCTTTTCCATTTTCTAGTCCTTCCCATTTAATTCCCCAGTAGAGTCTCAGCCTCTTAATCCCCACATTCTCGTACACATTGTATTTGGTTTTCTAAAAGCTATCAGGGAACAGATGTATTCATCTGATTTTGCCTTGTTTGCAAGGCTGCTTTAGTCCTTCAAATGTCATTCCTGGTATGATAATAGAGTGACAACACTGTCTTACTGACTTTCAGGTGGAAAGTTAACTGTTTAGAACAAGGACATTTTTCTTTGAAATCTTAGATTTATGCCAAAAACATTAGACCATAACAATATAGGCTCATAGGAAAATCAAACTGTTTGTTACTGACAATGTGGAGAAGCCAAGACTGGAATCTGGATTTGTTTAATTTCTTTAGGAGGTAGTGGTGTGGAATCTGTGCTGTGGGCAGGCAAACCTTGAGAGGGCCACTGTTCCTGTGTGCCTGGTCATTCCCCTGGGTATGTCCCCATCTCCCTCCTGGCTGGCAGCTGCCACCTCTGAGTGGGGTAGCCCTGAGCTGTTCCCAGCAGCTGTGATGGGTGCAGAGCACAGTGGGACAGGTTGTGGTGCTGCAACACCTGCATTCCTGTGGCAGCTTCTGAGAGCTGGCATCAAATCGCTTGTTTGAACTGCTCTGCTCACAGCCTGCTTTGTGCCAGACACCGGAGTAGGAGGTTTGTTGGCTTTTGAAATGATGAGCCATGTACACTGCTGGCTGCCAGGATATGCTGTATTTCTTGCTGTATTTCTTGTTGTTTCCAGCCATCATTTTGGCCATTTTTGTGTTCAGCCTGAGATCCTATTCACAGCAGCTACTGTGAGGGTTGTTTGCATTTAGTTGTCTGCTTGTCCTGTAGGGTTAAAGTTGTTGCTACTTTTGTATAACAAGGATTCCTTCCATCCTAGTAAGTGCTTCTTATGAAAAACAAACAAAATAACCACAAGCACTCAAATCTAATTATAGCTATTTTCTCACATAGCTCCATCCTATACCTGCTTCCAGAAGAGCATATCCTGAAATAACATGGCAATACCTCTGTTAAGTAAACTTCTCTTGCTTTTCTCTCTGTAGTATTGCTGCTATACCACAGAAGTGGGAAATAATTTCTCTTGAGATTTTTAGTTAATCATCTTCTGAGGAAAAACACTGTTTCTAGATAAATACAGATTTTAAATGGATTCTTTATATTTAATTATTTGTACTCAGGTTATCAGTACCTTTAAAAAACAAAATCCATTGTTAATGCCCTTATAATTGGCAATCCTGAACCTGCTTTCCTTCAATAAACTGTACTATTTCTGAACCTGTAATCATGGAAGTTCTTATTGAATTCAACCAGACCTATAGTGCTGAATTGATTCTAATCAGAAGTCAAGTCTGGTCACACCCAGCCCCTCTGATCTCTGAGGACCAGCTGGAATGCAAAGAGGTGTTTTTTCTGCTAAATTTCTATTCCCTTAATGCAGAAGTCACTTCTAGCTGCTGATGTTTAATGAAGGCACTTGCTGCTGTACACTTTTCAGTACCTCTTTACATAAGGGAAAAATGGATGTAGCAAAAGCCTTAGAAGCATCCTGTGTAAGCAGAAAGTTTGGATTAAAATGTCCCACTGTGGCTGCAAATTTCTGCTGTGACTGTTGTGATGTCCGTGTACTTTAGGTTGTATTTAAGCACTGTCAGGAGGCGCTGACTGAGCGGCTCTAAGTGTGTTATAAGGCATTCAGTAATTTAGACTAACCCAAAGAAGGAAGTCTGACCTTTTCACATCTCCCTAGAGTTTGTTAATGAGGAGTGGTGAAGGAAAAATAGTACATTACTTCTAGTTGATATGGCACTCTTTACGAAACAAATGTAGTGTGAAAATCTATTAAATATGCTTATTTTATCTGTTTAATACTTTGGATTAGTCTAGCTTTTAAAATTCACTTCTGGTAACATATACCTAAACTCATATTCTTACCTGTTCTAGTAGAAATCTTTTCAAAATGCACCATGCCTGTAAATCAAGGTGAGAGAAACTTAAGCAAATAATCATATTTAATAGTATCTAATAATAACAGTAGCTTAGCCAAGTAGTGATGCAGATTCATTATGCAAATTTTGCCTGAATACAACAATATAAATCTGCTTGTACTTTTGGCCTTTGGTCTGCTGTGTGTAGATTTTGCATATCCCAAAAAAACTGGAAGGTGGCTTCTGTTGGAGATAGGCAAGCAAGCTCATTTCTGATGACTCCTACATTGGTGTATGTCTATTGTGGGTATGTTTTCAACACAGCTTTAAAAGTATTTATGAAAGTTGTTTTATAGCACAGGTGAAAAATGTTCCTGGTTAGTCTCCAACATCTAGCTGTAGTCTGGTGGCTTTTCCTAGTTGCTCTGCCTTCCCTTGGAGTGAGATTTGAGTCCCAGCATCAAAATGGAAGGCAGTTCAGGAGAAAATGCTACAAAAGTAATGTTCTGTGGGTTGGAATAGATTAATGGGCTGCTCTCAGAAGAATAATTCTGAGAAGTTTACAGCCCAGTTTAACCAGCTATGTTTCTTAGCATTTTTTACATGTCTAACAAATATACTCAGGGAAAATGAAAAGTGAGGGGGGAAACCCCTTCTTTAAGGAACTGTTTTTATCATTTTTAGCAGCATTGTTAAGCAGTAAAGTAGTGAAACTTGGTGACGTTCTAGTACAGTTTTGCAGTCTGTGCTGTTCCTTAATTGATTTTCCAGTTGACTGCAGATGGCTACACCAGGGGTGATTGTAGAGAGAAGCTATACATGTAGTTTTACCAACAGATGCAGAAAAAATGAGACACCTTCTGACTGTCATTGCTGCCACCAGCAATGAAGAAAAGTAGGTTTCTATTAAAGAGTTTGGCTAATTCTGTTACAGAGATGGTAATTACATAGATAGGCGGTACCCAGTTCAGAAATGTGACCCTGCAAATATGTAGATAGTGTTTGAAGATCATGCCTATTTAATGTTTCTGGATCATCTTAAAACTTCTAGTTAGTTTTAAAATTTCTTATGCATCTAGGCAATATCTTTTGCAGTATTTAATTCCCTTCCTCCTCACTGACTTCCAAATTTGACTTATCTCCTTGTGATAGTCATATGACTGGAACTACACCAGAGATTCTCTCTTTTGGTTCGTGACGTGTTCCACATGTGTAGCAGTACATAATCTCTTCAAATGAGAGTTAGAAATTCTCTGCCACTATCACAGTTTAGTGATCTATTGAAATGTTTAGGCACAGGAATCCAGATAGAACTACAGCTGCTTCAACTGTGTTGGTTCATGTGTCTGAAATGCAAAGATCATGTGGGATAATTGGAGCAGGTTGTAAATTGACTTACAATTTTTTTTTAAACTATTAAATAGCAAAGCTTAGAAATTAATTTGTTTTCAGTTGTTTTAAAGCAAATATGTGGCTTTTTTTCTGCAGGTTGTGAAACACTTTTAGAACTGCTTAAAAAAGTAGGTAAGTTGGTATTCCTATATAAAAAAAAAAATTCTTGCTTGACTATCTACTGTTCTACTCATAATTTCAGGATCAGTGTAAACAAACATTTTTGTTGGTGAAGCAAATGGAATTTGTGACTTTCATCTCTCCACATTGCTAAGAAATGTAATCTTCCAAGTTAAATGACTAAAATTAAATTATCAGTAAAATTCTTAAAGGTTAACATTCAGCATCAATCCTCAGAACATATGTATTGCTAGTCTTAATTTTTGTGCTATCTTAAGTATTTTTGCAAAAAAACAGGCTACTAACAAAATTACAGTAATGTCAATGTAATAGTTCATAACAGACAGTATTTTTTTCAGCTGAATATTCCTCAATATGCTAGGATGATGAGATTAAATCAGATTATAAATATAAATTTTAATATTTTTGCATGCTAGCACTAAAATGTGATCAAGCAGGAATCATAAACTAAAAATCTTTCTCTGATGTATATTACAACTTCTTACTATAACAAATACTTTCTTTTCTGCATAGTTTAAAATAGAGATCACAGATACCTCCCTTTTTGTAGAAGGTGTTTCTGATCAAAGAACACATTGTTCTGTGGGTTCCTCACAGATCAGCATTGGGCTTGGTACTTGTGGCTTCTGGTACAAGAGGATGGCAACAGCACAGCAATGGGAAACAGGGACACTGACTTTTAGTTTGATATAAACAACTTCTCTTTTCTTCAGGACATTATTCTAGAATTGTAGGCAATCACTTACAGGAACCTGAACATGAGGTGAAAATAGCATACCTCAAATAAATTAGATCTCGCACCTGCACTCCAAGAAGTTAAATGACTGTTTTGTATTCTTGAACAACTCACCATAACATTTTCCTCTTGCCCTGTAATCAGACTTCATTATTCTATCTAGAGAAAGTTTAGGTTGTTTGAGAGATGTTGCTTAAAATATTCTCCATTCAGAATCTCACTTTAAATTTCTTTCAATGCATTTAAATTTTAAACACAGATTCATTGCACTTCTGAGTAACAGCATTTGACCTAGTTAAAATGAGACAGCTTTGAAATAGTTCACTGAATTAATTTCTAATAATGCATAATACATGTAGTGATTAAATGTCTGTCCTGGATTGCTGCTTACATGGCATAAAATGCACTTAACAAACTCACATATAATAATTAAATGATAGGAAGTTGTATAGTAATTGCCTAAGTATAATTTCAGTTTCTTGTGTTGATTCTATGTAACTAAATAAAAATGCTTTTTAAGATTTAGCTCTATATTTTTCAGAACTTTGTATTGTAAGTTTATAAATTTAACGTATTTTCATGTGTCAGGAACACAGTAACAAAAATGCAATTTTTCCTGGAGCAAAAGTGACTGCCCATTCTTTAGTTAAAAGTATTCTGAAATTAAGAAAAAATCTGCACAAATCCTATTGTTTTGGGTATAGATGTTTGTAAAAGACTTTGTGTAGAATTGAGAATCTTTATCTTGTTCATGATCTAAAGTTAAAACTGACCAATAATAATTTGATGGGGGAAGAAGAACTTACAGCTTTTAATTTCTTTTTCAAATTGAGTTCATATACTGGTTCTAAATCAAAACTAACTTCTGCAGCTACAGGAGGGCTGGGTCAATACTGAGCTTTAAACATCTCACTCTGATATATTGCACAGACTTAACAGGTGTATTTTTCTATCTGTTGGAGAAGTGCAAAGTCAATGAAAACACCAGTTTGATAAAGCCATCTCTCTCTTCTCTGTAGCACATCATCATGTGCCTGTGCAGGATGCTCTCTTAGTTAAAGCTCTTGGGAACAGATCTGCTGAGTGTACCAGGGTTTCACACTAGACAGCTGATCTGCCTAGCATGGGAACTGTGAGATGTGCAGTGTGCCCCTGAACATGAGACTTATTTCTTTTACAAGCAGGAAAATATTTGGATTGGTTGGAGTTGAACCCAGTAAGTGACCCTGCAAATACCAGATAATTGAAGGTATTTGGTTTTTTCTCTTTGACATACAACTTCGAGCAACTTTTAAATCTGATATAAGCTTGCTTATACATAAGAAGTAATCTGTAAATAGATAACAGGCACTAGAGATCAAAAGTTTGTGATTAAATGCTGGCGTGTCTATTAACAGCCGTGTGCATCCTGTAGTATGTGCAGATATTCTTCACAAAATTAGACATGTTCTAAAGACATATGCACATATCCCTAGTGGGGAATTGCTCTCTCACAGGTTACTGTTGCAAAGTGTTTGATCATCTGCTAATGCTGTTGAGGATTTAAGCTGTAATAGCACTGTACACAGAAATGCATTTTAGTTAGTGATATCCAGCAAAATAAAATGCAACTCTTGGTTTAACAGGATTCAGTAATATAGTGGCGTATAAACTTATTTTAATTAAAAGTTTAAAATTCAGAAGAATACCTCAAAAAAAGTCCCCACCCAACCACATATGTAAATTACACACTTGGAATATTGGTGTCATTTTGTCTGTAGAACCACTCTACAGAAAATTCTTCAATGCCCTTGTGATAAGAGGATAGTGAGATTCTCACAGGTTTCTACTTGTGCTTCTAGTTTCTTTTGAAGAGTTGCTCACCACCTCTGTTTATTTAGACTCAGACTTATTGAACAAACTCATCCTTCACCTGAAGTTGAAGACACAATCTCCTGAGGATGTAAGGCCATGGACAGGCACTGCCATCCACACCCTGAACACGCCTTCACCTCCTCTGCTGCCAAGCAGTATTGCTGTCTTAGGCTAGTCATTCTTTCCTCAGGTTAAACCTTGACTTGGGTGAAAGGCTGCCAGGGGCTCTTCTTCCAGCACTCTTTCAGTTTCATATTTTAAAGTAATTTGTTCTGTTTCCATGGCTGACTTGATCCCTTGCCACAGTACATTTATTCATAGAAGTAGAACAAAACATAGTAGATACTACATGAACTACAATCAAGTAGATGGGTGAGATGTGGAAAAATCTGAACTTGCAAATATTTGGCAGTGATCAAATAACAGTTGAAAGAGTGGAACTCAGCCATGCTATTTTCAGAGCAAATTTTATGTGAAAGAATTGGAGAGTAGGGGAGTATACTATTCTTTATCTAAAAATGAATTCGTTCTAATGTTATAAAAGCATAAGAACATAAAACTCATCTTTCATGTCCTTAGTCTGAAATCAGATTCAGCTACTGTCCTTGCATCTGTTTGAAGTTGGTATGGGTTGAGGTGAACACCTGGCTATTTTAGAATGCTTTTTTTCCTCCCCTGTTGTGAACTTTTCCCATTCTACAAAGCTTTCTTTTTTAGTTGCCAAGTTGGTTGCAATTCTTTTGAGTTACTGAAGCTCATGGGGAAACCAGAAGGGCGGCAGAAACGGTGAGGGCGGTTCAGGTTTTAAACATGAATATTCTTGGATGCATAGGATTACAGTATAATGTTTTGTTGTAAATTAAATACTCGTTTAATGATTGAAAATTATGGGGAAGTCAGCAGAAAAATATTGTGACATCTGCTTAATTGGATTATTTTCCTTTATTAAAGGCTGGTATAGAAAGAAACTACATGTACACTCTTGACAGCTATTGATGTGCTGAGTCTGATTCCTTGGATGAATACTAGGCAAAAACTCTATCAAAATTAGTGACCTACATTATGGTCATGGATTAAATCCTTGCTTAGAACCAGCCTCAGATGACATCTGTTTGTCATGAAATAAAATCTGGCTTTAACTTTTCATACCAATTGCACTTCATTTGTCAGTTTGTTTTAACTTGTGTGCAGGTTAACATTATTATCAGAGAGTTTGACTTTGTAGTGTGCTCATGCTATGATTAGTAACACTGCAGGTCAGTGTGCTCTGTTGTTAATACCTATGGGACTGGGAGCTCAGTGCCTGTACATCTTTTAAAGTAGGGCACTGAATGAGAGAGGCCAAGGCATTTGTAGCTGTTGGGCTGTGGTGCCACAGCTTTGGCTGCAGTGCTCATTGCTATATCTGCTTTCAGTTACCTGTTTTCAGGCATTTCTTAAGCCTGGTGGTTTTAGACCTCCACAGTTAAAGGAGTGTCCTGTACAAACAAAGGTGGATTTTCCTGTTTGTTTTAAAGCAGTTGACAATAAAACACAAAAACTATTTCCAAACAGGGCTCTCAGATGCAAAGGATATTCCTTGACCTCTTCTTTTAGCACCTGTTAAAAGGTTTGGAGTTCTGGGATGTTCTTGAATCAACCTGCAAAATGGCCACAGCTTGGAGGACACCTGCCTTTTGCCACCAGGTGAGTGACAAAGCCCTGTAACTGTTTGGTTTAATAACTGTAAATCATTTCTGCTTAGAACCTGATGCTGACAACTGACATTTGTTCTAGCTGGAGAACTTAAATAATTTAAATAATTATTTAAAGAACTTTTAATTTAAATAATGAAAACACCAGCCATTTTCCTTCAAGCCCATGTTAGCCTGAAAAGTACTGTTTCTATATTGAAAATAATTCTCCCCTTCCCCCTCTTTACCCCATACTCAAAACTCCATCACCATGTGTTTATGCTAGAAGGGAATAAATAACTTGGTTTTCATGCCAAGTGTTTAACTTACTAATAAAATTTTGTGAGTTTTTGTGGTCTCTCTGACTCCTCATTCCAATCCAGCCATGGGCAGCTGCCTGATTCTTTCCCTTTCGGGGTGGGACACCACAAGGACATGGAACACACAAAAGTGTATATCAAATCATTATGGTTGATAACACAGTAAAATGAAACATTAAGGGGGCAATTAACCTTTCACTGATGAAAGAGGGGATTGATTTTTAGATGTAAGCAGATGTGGGGAGGATGACCAAATGCAGAAACTACAGCTGCCTTACAGTATTTGTTATATTTTGTCACAGCCATTCATGTTAAACCACTGCAGCACCAATGGGGAGCTTTAGCTAAGAAGACACTGCTGGCAGCACTGAGAATAGTGGAAGTCCTGTAACCACCATCACACCCTCTGTCATCTGCGAAAAATGAAAATTTTAAGAAGGCTTTTCCTTTAAAACAAATGTTCATGAATGTCACTGCTGCACCTTTGTGATTTTAAATTCAAGTTGTAAACAGTCACAGAATAAAGTTATGTGTTTTACACAGTTGCCACCAGTTTCAGCTTGTGTTTGAACTTCATCAGACTATTCAGATTAGAATGGGCAGGTCTCATCAGACCTGGTTTTCTCTGCATGTTGGGTAAGATGAATGGAATTCCTCTTAATTCATGGAAAACCCCTCAGTAGTTTCTGCATTTTACCTTAGAGAGATGAAGGGAAGACACTGACCAAGAATTGTTGGTGTGAATTGCTGATCTGTTAACTGAGAGTTTTAAACAGTTTTATATCAGGCTCTTGAATTATGAATTTGCTTGCTGTTGGATATTTTTAATTTTCAACTGCTTTAACTTCTGTTGTAAGTTGAAATTACAACAGTGGGGAAATTAAAGGGAAAAAATGAAATAATTATAATTAGAAAAGCAGTGAAGTAAAATAATGTGAAGAACTGCCTTAATTTGTAGTTATATACATTCCAATCAAATATCAGATTTAAACATTTTTAACATCCATTCTATGAAAATAACAAGTATACTTGGACTTAATACATACAAAATAAATGGCAGTTGCTCTGCCAAAATATTTAATATTAAGATTAAAATAGATTCAAAATTATGGATTGAATATAAACAAACATGCCAGCAATACTGATCTTGAAATTTTATGTGGATTTTTCCAACTTCTGAGAGCGACTATTGTTTTCCTGCAGAAAATAGTTTAGAAGTATGTGAAGTATATGTCTGTTACTGAAAGTAACTTTTGTAATGCATTAAATATATTATTACCCACAACCATAATAGGTACAGCACCTTTGCAGAAATGAGTGAAATTTTAAAATTATTGCCATGTCTTAAAAATGTGAAGTAGCTTTTGCTTTGTATTTCTAGTGTGTGACAGCTGTTTTTTCATAATAGTAGGAGAAAATTTCCACTGGTAGTGAATAGCAGAGAACATGACTAGTATGTGTTATCAGTATATCACTGTAATTAAGTTGTTTTGTTCTTTTTGCAAGGCAAACTGTCTAATATCATCACAGTGCATTGTGTAGTGCAGCACTTCACTGTCTAGAAGGTTACACAGTGACTTCAGTATTATGTTTTTTCTGATAGTGCTTGCTGGATTTTCTCTATCACAACTCATTGTCAGATGAGTTTTCATTATTAAATTTATTCATTCTATTAATTAGATAAATTCTTTTTTTTTCCCCAAGAAACAACACTAGCTATAAATCTTAATGGAACAAAATTTCTCTGCAGTGCAAACCATAGAAAATAGTCCTGTGCTTGAGAACTAAGTGGTGTCTTTCTGTAAGACCTGCCAATTTATTTTTATCTTGCAGGTTTTTTCATTCATTCATCATTTTCATTAATACATTAACTAAACCCTTAGGAATTACCTGTCAGCCCAGGAGTAAGTAATAATGTAGCTTACTATTCTTCAAGATTGTAATACCAATTTTTAAGAATGATTTGTGGTAAGTGATAGTGTAATGGTAGTGCCATCGTTGAATAGGTAACTAGCCCTCAAAATTATTGAACCTCACCTAACTCCTAACTATGAATTTATTTAGCTGTTGGTACTACAATGTCTGAGGGCTGCACACACTTACAAATTGCCCTGCTGGTGTCCATGTGAGATAGGAGATTGCATAGGCTTTCCCAGGGGAACCTGGAAGCTTGTTTCAGAGTCTGGAATTGAACTAATTCTCTTGAGCCCCACAGTAGGTCCTTAATCACAAAATCATTCCCCACTTCCCCCAAAGGGATTAAATGTAATAACTTGTATCATTTAAGGGCTTTTCTTTTTTAACACTTGAGGTTGAGGGTTTGAGGTGAACTTTGCTAAAGAGTTAGCTGTCATGGTGTAGAATTTCTCATTCCAGGGGTGGGGAGTGGGAGGTTGAGATGCTGCTCCGGCACACAGGGATTGCTCAGGCCCTGCTGGCCCTGCAGGGGCCTCCAGCTCTGAGTGGTGCTTTGGTAAACACTAACCCCGCTGTGTCCTGAGGAAGGTGCTAAAACAAAGTATCCCAAAAAAACAGAGTGAAAGATGTACATACCTGCACTGGGAAGAAATGAAGTGTGTAAAAGGGAAAAGGAATAATATGTTCCCATTTTAGGAGTCAACTTGAGCCTCTGCTATCACATATGAACAGGAAATTTAAGGAAGCTAAAAAATGCAAAGCCAGTTTATATCTGCATTTGGACACAAGTGGAGCACTTCTGTGGATGCTTACTTTTCAAGTGAATTAGATTAGTGTTTTGATATTAAATTAGCGTAAAACTAAATTCAGCACACCTGTGTTGAAACTTCAGTGATTTAAATACAGGAAAAAAACCCACACAAACAAGCAAACCCAAGCCTTGCAGAATGTTGTCATCTAAGTGAATTGTAATTTATTTTTCTGAGAAAATTTCTGAGCAGTGTATGTACATTTTTCATTGTCCTGCTATTTTCAGATTCTCACAAGTGGTCTTAATCACTATTAGGCAAATAAAAGTGCTTGGTTTTCCTTCAATTAGGTGTTTGGGTGAGGTATATTCTTTTAAAATTGGTTAAAAAGGCCAGTGGTCCTTAAACATTCACAATGCTGGCAAGCATGGAAGAAGAAAATATGAAGCACTGTAGAGGTGAATAAAGAGAAAGAAAAGGTAACCTGAACCACGGACAGTTCCTAAGTCCTACTGCACTTTGGAAGAGCTGGCAGTGCTTCCCTTAAGGAAGCAGTGTCCCAGTGGTTGAGGCACGGTGTGAGGGAGGTGGGCACACAGCACTGCCCAGCACCGGAGCATCTCCCTGCCCAGGAGCCTGAGGGCTCCAGCACAGCCTGCCTCAGCCCCCTGCTTGTGGAGAGATCAAATTCCCACTTGGCTGCTTTCACTGCTCCTTCTTGAGTCACCTGGGAGCTCCTCGAGGTGCCTCTGCTCCCCTCAGGGCCGGCGGCCATGTGTGGAGTGTGGGGCTGTGCGAAACAGAGCCAGGGTGGAGAACACAAACCATCTCCATTGTCTGTCTTCAAACCTCTGTGTTACACCCGAGGATGGGAACAAACCCTGTTTGACCAGCATCAGGCCCACAGGAGGGCTGCTGAGGGCAGAAAATTGCTCTCGACACATCCTTTGATCAATCTGCTGTTTGTTTTCCGATCTGCTTAGCTGGACAGGAGTCACTTGAGGCCTACACTGCGTTTTACCAAAAAGAAAACATATCAGATGAGATTTTAACTAGAACCCTGCTCCAGTGATCAAGTAGAAAGAGGAATGATAACTTTCATCTCTAGTTAAGGCTAAAATATTGCCCTGAGTGCTTGAATTATTGACTCTCTTCATATCGCCAATACTGCCGTTGATTTCCACTTCCTCGGGTCTCATGTGGTGATGTATTTTAAAGGCACTGTATTTCTCATCTTGCCCTCTTACATCTTTAGCTGGACTTACTTTTCTGACAGAAAACTTGTATTTAAAATATTTTTCAAACACCAGTGCTATTGTGACCTGCTTTTCAACTCAAATATTGTACGTGGAATAAATGAAATGTTGTTCAACTGTAGTCCTGCTGAAGAGGCCTGTTAAAATTTGAGTAACCAAGGCAGGAGAAAGTGATTTCCTTGTTTAAAATGTGTATTTCAGGGCATAGAACTTTTCTGCAGTGTACCAACATCCTGGCTATATCCCAGCCTGATGCTTGCCCTGGTGCCATGCACTTAACACGGCAGAGGCAGGACAAGGAGTGAAGGGAGTGGGAGGCTGCCCATTTCCCCAGCTAGCACTGTGCTGCACCTTTGTAGTCAGAGCTGCCAAGGAGGAAAGCAGCTCTCACTGCTAGCCCTGCACCGAGAGCCTGGGAATTGAGCACAAATCGTGGAGGGCAAAGAGGCATCTGAAGCTGGTCTCCTGCTGGAGCAGATCAAAGTGACACAGAGAGCCTTGTAGCTGCTGCAGCCCAGCCAAGAGGGAGGAACCAGTGCCCTCGCCTTGCCTTTTGTTTCGTGGACAAAATGCAGGTGGCATGCTCTCTACCCACTGCAGACTGGGGAGGAAAGTGCACTGCTCCCTTTGCCTGGCTTTTCTTTTATCCTGTTGCTTCACCAGCTGGCAGCTAGTGACAGGCAGGTGAGCATTGTGCCAGGGGTGGGCAGCTCTCCCACGCCACCTTGAAGGCTGCCTGCTGCTGCAGTGCCAGGAGAAGGACCCTGCTGCAGGTAAGAACTTCTTCATGATATATTTGTCTAAAGTAATCTGCAAGCTGCTAAAGAAAGCTTCAGTTAAGGCACTTTTGCTTATGCTTGTTGCAAAGCTGCATGTAAAACCTCCGCACAGTTGGTTTACTGTTTCTGTGCCTTGTAGTGCCCGGGCATAGTATGAATCCTGGGTGGGCTGTGGGAAAGCCTGTCAGCTCAGTCCGCCTCAAACACTCACATGAGCCATGGGATTGAGAAAGAAGAGTTACTGGTTTATGAAGGTGATTTCTCATGTTTTCCAACTGCAGAGCATGACTGTGGTAGGGCAGCAGTAAACTGTCTGTACTGTCTAAACAGTCTTTGCAAGAGATGTATTGAAAAATACAAATACTGGTTGCCTGAGTGATGAGGGTTGCTGCTTTAGTCTGAGTGCACTGATGATTAAAATAATTTATCATCAAGTTTCCATCATCTTGCACTGTCTGAGTGCATGATGATGGAAGATTGGTGATTAATTATTTTAATGCCTTTAGATACTGTTCTAATTTTGTAATTCTGCGTTCTTTCTCTTAACTTTTTTTTTTTAGTTACCTATGCTACATAGGGTTGAGCATAAGTTCTTTATTGTGTTTTTAGTTTGCTTTTTTGTTTTAATGAGTTTTACTAAAGATAAGAGTGTTCTGTGGGTACCAGGCAGGACACTATTAAGAAATTTTCACGTGTGTTTGGTTTTCCTTGGTTTGTGGGCTGAATAAATGGTGTGAGCCTAAGGCTCTTATCCCTTCTTTTGGGCTCACTTGTGTGTTGTAAACTTCCTACTATGTTTGTAAAAGTACATATTTTATTAGGTATTTTCCTCTTTGGTACTTTT